GCTCTCAGTGTGGAGTGGGAGATAAATGCCCACAATTATAAAGTGCTTTGTGTTTCCGGTCTTTGAAAGACTTACTTGTTCTGTGTGCTCCTCATTCCTACTGTCTGTAACTTGTGATGCAACACTGACATTTTAATAAAGAATCTCTTCATCTTAATCTTAATGTATATACAGTATATATTAAGGTACGGCTCATATATAGCAAGAAATTCAGCACCTCAAGGACAATTATTCTGGCTTCATGTGTGAAACCCCGGCTCACCAGCTTTTATGTGATCTACCTAACTGACGACAAATTGTTTTCTTGAAGCAGTATTTTCTTTATATACATATATTAAATAATGGCAAACTCATGATTAGTTGCTGCTGCATTTCAGGCATAGGCAAACTTGCTCTGAATCTATAACGTTCACACATTAGTTTGAACAATAGCTCGACTTTAAATTTGAAATGATTCTTGGATGTATTAGACCTATTACAAACAGACAGAAAAACTCTTTGTTGGCAAAAGGAAGTTGATTATGGGGTAAATGATCAGTGTAAAGAGTAAGATCTGCCCTGACCCTCTGACCCTCTGACCCACTCTTGGCCCAGAGCTGAGTAGCAGGCGATAAAGAGCGCTGAGTTTGAACCTTTTCTGTCCCTGGAGGATTCTGCTTCTGTGTGAATGAACGAAGCCATTGTTTTGGGAGAAAAATATCAGAGACAGAAAATGCACACATTAAAAGTATTCAACACAGGGTTTTAAATTACAGGTAGTGCAGAAACTGAACAAGTGAAGGTTCTATTGGTACGCATAGATAATTTGAACCAAAAACAGGAACCAATGAACATACTGTATTTGAGTGTTATTTTGGCTTACGTAAAAAGTTAAGATCCTTTTAAAACCTTTTTGACATTTTACCTGAGATACAGTAGTTAGCCCTTTTCTTTCCCTGCCAGAAAAGGAACCACAAAAAAAAATTGGATGCGCCCAGTGAAGGACACATATTAGATTACAACATTGTCCTTCATCCAAAACAGACCTGGAGTTGTTTTTAGCTCCAGCCACACTTTTGGCACAGTTTTTTTTTGTTTTTTTTTCAATTGCACGGCTGTATTTGTAGCACGCAATGTTTGATGTTGAAAAAAAAGAATATCTCCCTCTGATAGTAGAAGTGGGGGGTCACATGCTGAGATCATTATTCTATCATTTATACAGCATCAATGATATGATATATGGAGGAACTGTGCATGTTTATCTATATATCATCTACTAAGAAATAATGTCCTTAAACATGAAATACCATCGGGGAATGAATGATGAATGACAGTAAATGGTCTCATTATCATAGTTGGCAGTAAAAAAATATAGCATCATATTTCTTCTAGACCCCTGTACGATGTTTATGATTTATTAATGCGTTTAAATTTTGTGGAAAGATTAAATTATATCTCCCCTGCAGTTCAAGTTATATTGCCTCTGGACTTTACAACGCACTCGATGTGATGCTTCCGGCTCATTACTTATGTTGGCTCTCAAACACTGAACGCAATTGTTGTCCCAAAATGACCATCGGACCCTCTCTGCGTCTGTCCGCTCGTGGTCAGCTGCAGTGGGAGGAGCCGGGGGGGCAGACGTAGGTGGCCCGCCGGGTGACTTTTGTGCTCACAATTACTGCCTTCATGAAGCTGCTTAACGCAAAAAGCCAAGAAGAAAGCAGCGTGAAAAGACGTCCTGGGGGTCCCGCTATCTCCTCATCGCACTCCACTCAATCCTTTTCATTTTATTTGGCACCATTTCTAGGTCATAGTTTTACACACAGCAAGAAGTTCATTTGGATTTTTGTCCCATGGCGTTCGTAGGAAAGCACTGGAAAGAATGCAGACGCTTAAACATTGTAATCAAAGCAACGGGTAACCTATTTCTCATCATAAATAATCCATATGGTTTGTCCCATTTGGTTAAATTACTATCAAAGTAAAAGGTTGTGTACAAATCAGAGCATAATCTTACTAGAAAATGTGTTGTATTTTTGCATACTTGTATAATTACAGTACATTCTATAGATTTGAGTTAAGTTTGTATTCTGTGATTTGAAAGAAATGTGGTATCTTTTATTGCTTTAAAAGGCTGAATTACAGTGACCGGGAATAGTTTTGATATAGTTGAGCCGAGACATCTGGAATTTAAATGTGTTCAAATAGTTTTCACTTCAGTCAAGACACAAAAAAATAAACGTGCTGTCATCAGTGATATAGCGTTGCATTGGGAATATTACTATGTGATTGCTTTGCTCGATTCTACCATGAAGTTAATTCTAAGCTTTTGAGTTTCAGTCCATTATCAAGATTACAGAAATGCGCTCGCTGGAGTCATGATTCACTCATATTTTTATATTGTTAGCAAATGCAAAACATGTCCCAAGTGAGTCCATATAGATGCACACAGACTGCATCACAAACCACACACCATTTCTGATGCTTAGTTTTTCTGGGTTTTTTTTTTTTGCACGCCTTGGCTGATCCTGTGAAGACTGAGAAGTGGATCAAAGCCGTTGAAAAAGCCATCTCCTCCAGTCTTGCGCTCTTGCCCGCCTTCTCATCTGCGATAACCCAAACCCCATTCGCCACCAAAGAAAAGTAACAACCGCAACGTCCGCTGTGCTTTTGTCTCCCCAAGAATAGACACCGACATTATGGATTTGTTTTTGTGTGTAACCAATCTCATAATAATTACCGCAAAGAGAAGAGGATAACTTTTCCCTTTTCGTTCGTATTATTTACAGCCAATGGGGGGGTGAACTGTGAGTCTGAATCTGAAAAGCGGCTTATCCGTGCGATATGGCCGTGGGAGGGGGGGGTATTTGAAAGCGCACCCCCACTTTATTGCGTGGGGGCGGACAAAGGCGGATAGATGGAGAAGAGCAATCTGGTACGCTGCAAAAATGACCTACTTCCTGTCTCACAAATGGATCACTGTGCTCAGATAGAGGAGAAGAAGAAGAAGTAGAGACGGGGTGGGGGTCTGGTGAGGGGCTGGCGTGCCACGGTTAAATAAGCAATAAGTAGGTGACTCTTGAGATCACACACTGTAAAAATCCCTGGTTTGTGTGTGTCCACCTGTGTGTAACATGTCGTATAATGGTCTGCAGCTTCCTCTTCCCTGCCGCTGTTAATTAAGCTGAATGTGAGCTCTATCAGAAAGACAATATTTGCAGGACTGCTCACACCAGATGTCCGCCTCATGGATATGGACTTGCTATAAACCAGACATGTCCAAACTGTAGCCCTCAGGATATATTGAAGTCATCTTTTTTGTTGTTGCAGGAGTCATGTCCCGCTAACTTTGAAGACCTTTTTGTAAGTTTTGCGTAAGCTCTCAGTCGTACAGAGATTATACAAAACAAAGGCAGGTTGCTCATCCATCATCTGTGCTTCAGTTAGCAGGTTTTACAACGTTCACAAGAAGAACGAAATTTTGTAACTGAAGTCCTTTGTTTTGACCTTTTTTTCTACTTTTAAATTAAGCTTCTTTGTTTGTGCTTTTGCGGTTTGAAGTTATGTAGAGTGTTGTGTCTGGCTAAATTCACCAATGGAGCTACATAGTCCACTTCCTGGTTCCACACACTTAAGAAATACATGCTTTTTCTAATAGTGATTCAGAGAAAAATGTGTTGTTAAATGTTAGGTTTTCAATGTGCTTTTTGGGCTAAAAACAATCGCGCTTCTTACCAGATGCCAGTTAGCCCCCGTATTCAAACTTTTATTGGGATTTTTCAAAACTCCATTGGGAAATTTTACTTCCGGAGCCCGAGCGGACTTCCCACTTCGCTGTTCTATTTGAAATGCAAATGGTTTGGACAGCTTTTTATGTTTCTGTTCAGACTTCCTGTATTTCAGAGTGTGGGCCTTGATGTAAAAAGTTCAAACAACCAGCAATAAAATTAAAAACCTAATTATCAGTACATGATAATTAGGTTGAAGATTTGTGTGTGTGTGATTTTGATAGTTAACTTTGAAATACGTCACAAAACTCTTTCTGTTACAACGAGCAAAATGTGTCGAGTCCCGCAACTTTAACTGGTAAAATGTTTGAGACCTAATTTATTGACCTTTATTTAACCAGGATAGTCCCACTGAGATTTCAGAATCAGCCTAGTCCTGACCCCAGAGAGAGAGGCGCGGGAGTGGGGTCTGAGAGGGTGTTACGGGGGACTATCGTACATGTTTTTAGTGGTAGGGGAAATCAGAGCACCTGGAGGAAACCTACACAGACATGGACAGAACATGCAAACTCCACACAGAAATGTCTAGAAATAAGATTTAGAGATCCATTATTCACAGGACACAGTGGGCTAAATTTCAGTGTTGCTTCACAGGTTAAAGAACAGTAGAAATGAGGAGCGCACAAAGCAAGATAAATGAACGATAAAGCTTAGGTAAAATTTCTAGCTTTAGCATGATGAAGAAGCAAATCTAAAATCTCTAGCTTTAGCATGATGAAGAAGCAAGTCTAAAAACTCGAACTCAGAACAAGAGCTAACTTCTGCCAAACTTGACTTGGTCACTGGTGCATCCCGACACATACACAGGCTGGTGACGGACCACTTACTCAAAACGTCCACAATGCAACTCTTAGTGAGCTCTAACACCTTCACCTTGTACAGAAATCGTTCCCATAAAAAAAAAAGAGAACACTCATATGCCAACAAATTCAATTAATTGTTTCTTCCATTCAATCCTCTTTTGTAATTTGATTGGAGCTGTAATTCCAACCACCATTAAAATGTGATTACCGGGACGCACACAGCCCTGTAACGTACAGTGATGTGACGACAAAGGCTGCGTTTAATTCCCTCAATTTAGGTCATTGCTTAAGTCCATGGAGTGAATCACCACTTTCAAGTTTACGTCGAGGCGCGTGATTGGCTGCCGCGAGTGTGGATTTAATCCCTACTCTTAAACGCGGCTCTTCTCACTCACACATTTATCATTCTGTCCTTTTTTCCCATCTACAGTACCTGAAGATCTGTCTGTGCTGGAGCGAGATGAGCTGTCCAACATACGGCGCAGGAAGAAAGAGCTGCTGGATGACATTGAAGTAAGTTTTATATTGTGGTTATTATGTGTCTTCTTTATTGAAACATGTGTTAAACAATGCAGTCCACGGAAACATTTTGAATCAAAGAAGTATTCAGCAACATTCAACTTTCAATCTCAAAATGATAGTATAAGTAAATAATGAACTATGTAACAAGCCTTTCGACTTTCTAGATAGGCATGTCGTTGAATTTAATGATGTAAATAAGATTCATTTATCTATGTATTCTGACTTAGTTTTGACTCTGAAATGCAATACCACTTTATTTTAATAATAGTGTGTTTTTGCTGAGAAAAGTCGCTTTTGGGGTTGTAAAGGTGCTATTGTAACAACACATCATCAGCAGGGTAAAACTACCTGTCTAAAACTAACTCACGACGGTCTCTTTATTGAAAGATAGATTGATAGATTCTGTTTGCTTACTTACAAACTAGACGTCAGCATTGTTGACCTGCACCAGGACTTTAAACTTACACTGCTATAGCCACTTTTTTATTTTAATCGGACATAAAATACCTCTATTGCATATTTCCGTCTTTTTGCATAACCTCAGTGATCCTTTTTAGGTTATATGTGACAATTAAATTTCTCCATTGTGAGATCAATAAAGTTCATCTTATTTAAATTGAATGTTGATATTATTCAAACTTTATCCTTGCGTCTTTTTCTTATTCTTCCGGTTCCATTTTGAGCTGATAATTTGTAAAGTCCTAAATAAGATTTTAAATGTATCGACACATGGTGAAACTGTTAAATATTGCTTATGTGTCTGTGTATGTACAGTATGTATGTGTATGTACAGTATGTATGTGTATGTACAGTGTGTATGTGTATGTACAGTATGTATGTGTATGTTCAGTGTCTATGTGTATGTACAGTATGTATGTGTATGTACAGTATGTATGTGTATGTACAGTGTCTATGTGTATGTACAGTGTCTATGTGTATGTACAGTGTGTATGTGTATGTACAGTGTGTATGTACAGTGTCTATGTGTATGGACAGTGTGTATGTGTATGTACAGAGTGTATGTACAGTATGTATGTGTATGTACAGTATGTATGTGTATGTACAGTATGTATGTGTATGTACAGTGTGTATGTACAGTGTGTATGTACAGTGTGTCTGTGTATGTACAGTATGTATGTGTATGTACAGTGTGTATGTACAGTGTGTATGTGTATGTACAGTATGTATGTGTATGTACAGTGTGTATGTACAGTGTGTATGTACAGTGTGTATGTGTATGTACAGTGTGTATGTGTATGTACTATGTGTATGTACAGTGTGTATGTGTATGGACAGTGTGTATGTACAGTATGTATGTGTATGTACAGTGTGTATGTACAGTGTGTATGTACAGTGTGTCTGTGTATGTACAGTATGTACAGTATGTATGTGTATGTACAGTATGTATGTGTATGTACAGTATGTATGTGTATGTACAGTGTGTATGTGTATGTACAGTGTGTATGTGTATGTTTTTTTTTTTCATTTCATTTCATTTCATTTCATTTTCAACCCCTTTGTCCATTTCTGGGTTGGGGGGGTGGCAATGAGAGCTGCCACCCAACGCTCATAGCACCAGTCCCTCGCTGATCTTCTGCAGGGGGTGAGTCCACAGGAAGATGGCTGCTCCGTCAGTTGTGAAACAGCCTTGATCTTTCAGCGGGGGGCTTCAGGCAATGTGGGGTTAAGTGTCTTGCCCAAGGACACAACGACAGCAGTCATCAGTGGGAGCAGTTGGAGTAGGTCCCATGGTGGGAATCGAACTCACGACCTCCAGGCCCAAAGGCCAATGCTCGACCAACTGAGCTACTGTCGCCCCCATGTATGTGTATGTACAGCAGGCAAATATATAATGAACGAATCTATTTCTGCTTAAATGAATGAATGCAATGAAAAGGAAAAATGAAGAGAACTGTAATTGATAATCCCGACCCTGCTGTATGTGTCAGTAATGTGAAGCACTGATGAGTTTTCTCCTGCAGCGGTTGAAGTTCGAGATCGCGGAGGTGATGACGGAGATCGAGCAGCTCACGTGCGTCGGAGAGAGGTGAGAGGACGTCAGCGTTGGCTTTGTTTCTATGGAGCCGTTTGTGGAAAAGGTCGCATGTGTAAACAGGTTCTTCTGTCGCTTTGAGTAATCTGCTGTGGCCTTTATTCTACGGTGAATACCAAATAATACAAAAAAAATAGTCATGCCATGTTTGTTTTTTATTTCAATTCACAAAAGATATTATATTTTCCCTGCTGCTCTGATCCAAACCAATATCAAAATATGATCATTTCTTGTTAATCATCATCACACAAGATCAAAGTCACAGGGACAGACTGTAACTCTCGATAAAGTGCTAGTACTTTGAGTTCACGCGTCATTCATACAGATTTTGTCCGTTTTTGTCTGTGGAAATACAAATCCTAGCGACCCTACCTCCTAATACTCCTTCCACGTCTTATCCGGTCATCTGAATACTTCACAATGAACTTGCAATTAAATCCTCAGTCAACAACTTCCTTCCATTCAGATCTTTTCCCAACTCATCAGAGCGATACAATACAGCTGTAATCTGGATCTGCTGTGTCTGTAAATAAGTTTATACTGCAATCATGTGCAATGTGCAATACTGAAATTTCACATTGTCTACTGAATGTTTATTTATTTATTTATTTATTTATTGTGGATGGCCCCTTGAGATGAATCATCTCTTTTTCGAGGGGGTCCGGTTATAAAACAAAGTTACATACATGACCACAAAGACAGACAAGACAATAAGCGCATACAGTACATAAAGACAGAAAGAAAAAAAGAAAAAAGAAATAAATAAATAATAATAATAATAATAATAATAATAATAATAACAATAATACAATAATAATAAAAAATAAAAAAATGTCACTGTATGTATTTATAGTGCAAGGTTATAAACATATATAGGGCAGGAAAAGTAGATGTATATTGAAGCGTTTACAGCTAGCTAAGAAAAATAGCAGCTACTTATATTGTATGTTTTGTTGCTCCCTGTGTGGTCTTACTACTGTCCTGTATGTGCGCTGCAACATTGAAATTTCCCCACTAAATAACGAATAAATGATCTCTAATCTTATCTAGCTCCTCTCATCATCATAATTTACAACCACATGTAGAGTATTAGTATTTATTCTGATCCTTGGGTCCAAAGTCTACCGTATACGTACTGAATCCACCTTTTCTCTTTCGTCTCTGACCCACTAAGCCAGACGACTGCCTCTTCGGCCTCGCACCTGTCATTTTCTGTTTGTGCGCGTGGTCATCCTTTGTTTGAACAGTGAAGGGGCTCCACGTGCAACTAAACATTATCCAAACAGTCGCTCTGAGGCTGCGCTGCCATTGGCTGAGGAGGTGACGCCAGGCTCAGGTGCAGAAGATAACACTCAGGGCTATTTCCAGCAAACAGGAAGCACAACACTGACAGGGCAAAATCTCTCTGCAGGGAAAGTAAAAGATTTCCATTTGAGAGAGTTTTTGAGGCTATTTGATACAACTGAAAGACAAAATCATACAAAATATACAGTGACGGTCAGTTACTTGAGAGAGTGAAACTTCTTAAAGGCAAGTGCTGGTTAGGCCCGCCCATAATCACCTCTGCAGCTTCCTGATTGGTCTAGGCCCTTCATCATTCTCCTCCAATAAATCAGCCTGGTGGAAGTTATGCCAATGTCAAGGTCAGGTTTATAATATATAGCACATTTTAAAAACAGACATGATTGCCACAAAGTGCTTTCCAGACATAACAAAAATAGATGCACACAAACAAAATACAGCGTAAAATAAAATACTGGTCTGCTAACATAAGAGATAAAATTAATCTTGAGTTAAAAGCCAGAACAAAGGGAGGGACTGGTTTGATTATGTTATTGGTGACAAATACTTACTCTGCATAATAGGTCAAAGCCTGAAGTTCAGAAATATACACTGTTTTCAAAATGAGATACATTTTAAGTTGCTGACATCACCTTTAATTGTGCCCAATCTTGAAAACAATATTCAGAAGATAATGTGACAGTCCACCAACTTGTTCTAAATGGTTTGGTGAAGGCTCAAGATTCACTTTAATTCTACAGTTCACTTATTGCACTTTATGGATACCTGAAAGAATGTGCTTGTATGTTTTGTATGTTTTTCACACATTTCTGTAAGTTATGCCCATAGACTGTATATAGATGGACATTGGTAAGCCGCTCGCTCTATGAAGATAGGGATGTGTTCATGGGTGAAGTTTTGCTCCGGCTGCCTTTTTCTCCTCATTCACTTTCATTGGCCTTAAAATATGTATATAGATGGATAGATAGAAAGAAAAATGAAACGAAATGGATAGAATGATTAAACCACCTATTTATGTTTAAAATCCAGACATGTTTTTCCTTGCCGATCCAGGAGAGTCTGTGAGAGCCTTGTGAGGGTCTAACAAAAAGGACAGGGGTGATGAGCCCAGACACTCATCATTTATCAACATTTATCAACATTTATCGACATTGTCCATAAGATATCTGCCTCTTATGGACCAATACCAATATGTGTGATTCTTTGATCTGTGTTGGCGAATTCAACGGTTGTGTAAAGTCCTCCGAGATAACTACTAGTGTGATTTAGGGCTATGCAAAAATAAATTGAATTGAATTGAATCGAACATGACCCTAAAATAACTGACCAATCAGGTGCCTTCTGTCGAATAATGCCCTTTGGTTACTACGTCGTTGCTACCCACAAAGTAAGAGTCCTGCCCAAGGAGCCTGTTTGAGTGAGCTCTAATCCGCTGACAAACGCTATACTCTGGGTGACGTCAACACTCGGTTAGTCCGCTCCTTCTCCAGTCTATGGTAATGATAAGATAAGATAAGAGTTGCTTTATTCGTCCCACAGTGGGGAAATTTCAATGTTGCAGCGCACAGACAGGACAGTAGTAAGAGCACACAGGGAGCACACAATATATACAAAATACGTACAGTAATAGCTATGCTGGAAATGCTTCAATACCAGTCAAAAAATATATACATGTAGTGCAGAGTTATATACAGTACATATAGGGCAGGATAATAAGTAGATAAAGTAAAGTGACATCAGTGGATATTCTGAAGTTGCAGTATTGCACATTGCACAAGATTTAAGAATTTACTTATTTATAGATGAATGAAATGTACAGGCTCAGCAGTTCTTATTGTACAGTCTGACAGCAGCAGGAAGGAAAGACCTACGGAACCTCTCCTTCACACAACGAGGGTGAATTAGTCTGTCACTGAAGCTGCTCTCCAGAGCAGAGAGAGTGTCCTGCAGGGGGTGACAGTCATGGTCCAGCATAGATGTTAGTTTGTCCAGGACCCTCCTGTCCCCCACCTGCTGCACTGTGTCCAGGGAACAGCCCAGGACAGAGCGGGACTTACTGATGACCTTGTCCAGCTTCTTCCTGTCCCTCTCTGTGATGCTGCTGTTCCAGCAGACCACACCGTACAAGATGGCTGATGACATCAGATGATACACTGATATTCAATGCCACTACTGCTTTTTAACCTTGGATACTCTCTTGTGGTGACATGTTTGGTAGCATGAAAGAGGAAAGTGCTTAATCATGATCCTTGGATTTTCCTTTAATTATAAGATCAATTTTGAGACTTACAATAATGATCCTTGTCCCTATGCAGCAGACCAAAGAGTTACTAAAGCTGATGCTGTTTCAGACCGATATATGGAGTATTTACCTCTCAGTAGTTTTGTATAAAGCAGCATTTGAATCCTCTGTAAACACAAACCACGGTGTAGGGATAACACTGTCAACACACAGGCTTAAACAAACTTTTTCAAACCGTCGTGTCAACTCCTGAAGCCGATGTTTATCACCTGGAGCGCTGGACCGCACCTTTAAGAAATAACATTATGTTTACATTGCAGCAAAACCTCTCAGAGAAACAAACAGATCGCTATGGGGAGGAAGAAATTCAACATGGATCCCAAAAAGGTCAGTTATTTTAGCAATCGAAAGCACACTTGAAATGTCATTCAGTGTTTTTGTTCTAGGGACGGAATGCAGGTTTTCTATGTCCTGGTTCCTACATGAACGTGTGCTTAAAGTGATTTAAAGTGACTCCAAATGAATTAAACATTTTAAGAATTGTATTAAATTGACCTCCTGGCCTTAAATGTTGATCTAAAATAAGTCATTTTATGAATTCTAATATTACGGGTAAGTAATACCCGATGCCGTCCACGTTAACCAATCAAGTGATGCCAAGGGCTGTCAATCATCGGCGCTCATGCTCGTAGCGAATCAACCCTCCATTAGGCTCTGGAACTACATGAAAACTGAACAAAGAATTCTGAACATCCGCGCTGAATTATCCATTTAGTAGTAAGTAAGTAAGCTTTTATTTATATACCGCCTTTTCACTGCACATCGGAGTCTCAAAGCGGTTTACAATTGTTGCCAGTACAGGTGGCCCATGCCATACCTATTGTACATATTTTGTTTTTATTTATTTTTTTTTATTATGCAACATTTACACAAACAATACAATAACAACATAAAAGTCAGAAAGATAACCCTAAGACTGATGTTGACAAAATACAAAACAAACAAAAAATATACAACAAATAAGACAATAACAAATCAAGGAAATTAGTAGTAACTGAGGGAGGTGTGTGTGTGTGTGTGTGTGTGTGTGTGTGTGTGTGTGTGTGTGTGTGTGTGTGTGTGTGTGTGTGTGTGTGTGTGTGTGTGTGTGTGTGTGTGTGTGTAGGTAATTGAAATACAGATACAATATTATTGTCATCCACACATTATCACCATCGCCACCAATAATAATAATCCACATAAATCCTCATGATCAAAAACTATTTGAGTTTTTAATTGGAGATTATAAATAATTATAATAACAACAATCTTATTAATAATAATAATAATCACTTATTACCATCCCTATTATAACAGTAACAGTAACAATAATTCATAATTTAATGGTGTACTGCTATCTTCCCTCCACCGTCCCCCCTTCCCTATTTAAAGTGTATTATTTTTACAGTTTCGCTACTTTGATGTGTGACATGTGTTCTACAGTGCATTAAAAGGCAGACATGAGGGGATGTCCCGAAGTGGGTTTCTCCCCCACGTCCGACCGGCCCTATGTGTATTTATAAAGACATTTCAGTGCTACTCTAATGTGATGCATTAAAAGACAGGAGATGGTAGGGGGAAGAAGCTATCATTTCCTTTCAAACGATATGTAATAAAATAATGCCAATAATTAAATTGTTAAGAGTATGGTAATGACCAATCATGATGATAAAAACGTAATAGCAATATTAGTGATGATGATAATGGAGATGGTGTCGGTGACAACCGCAGCAATGTTCAGGTGTATGTGGGTGTTCTGTTGGTCAAAGTAAGAGTGAGAGGGGCTCACATACATTGTACATATTTTTAGTGGTAGGGGAAACCGGAGCACCCAGAGGAAACCTACGCAGACACGGGGAGAACATGCAAACTCCACTCAGAAAGGCCCTGGTCCAACCGGGATTCGAACCCAGGACCTTCTTGCTGAGAGGCGAGAGTGCTATCCACTCAGCCACCGTGCCGCCCGTATATTTATATACTGAAACTATATCCATAATCAGATTCTTTGCAGATGTGTCCTATAATGTTCAGTTAATGATAATAGCTACTTCCAGGTTTACCGCAATTTCTTTTTTTGTGCATTAAAACAATATTTTTGCCGTTAAAACATTAACAAATAATTCTGAAAACCTCCGTGCATGTGTATTAATAATGTTTATGTATAATGTGTTCCACGATTAACATTTAAATGTGTTGATTGATACGGAAACATAGACCAATCAGAAAGGAAGGGGGAGGAGCTTGGATCGTTTTTTTCAAATCATGTACCTCTCTTTCTTTATTCTGACAAACTCCAGACAATCACTTTAAAGCTACAGAACCTAACTCTTATTGTTTCATAAAGAACACATTGTTTGTCCCAAAGTAAAATGTTTAATGTTTTCAGCTTATTAGAAATCATAACGTTTGCATACTCATTTCACTTTTCTGTCTGGAAAATCTAAAGATGTGACTGATGCCAAAAATGCATGCATGTGAAAAAAAGGGAACTAAACTGTTATGCGAGTGAGGAACTAGTTTGATGGATTTAATTACATAGTTAAAAAAAAAAAATTGCGAATTGAAAGTCAGGTACCCCAGCTTTAACTTGCAGAAAGACAACTGGTTTGGATTGTATGGCGTTTTAATACTGCTTGTATAACCAGTAAGGGCAAAACTACTTCCTTTATGATTTAAAAATGACTCCTAGTGGTTTTTTTGTATTTCAGGGAATCCAGTTCCTTTTGGAGAACGATCTTCTCCAGAACACCCCAGAAGACATCGCTCAGTTCCTGTACAAAGGCGAGGGTCTCAACAAAACGGTCATCGGAGACTATTTAGGAGAACGGTGAGCGCTCGCTCTGCTGAATCTCCCATGCGTGATCTCAGACAAGGGCATTAAGCCGCAGGAAATTGGGAGTCTGAATTTATGAGGGAACGCAGCGGTGACTGCCCGCTAGTAAAATAACATGTGGTTCTTATTGGAAGGATAGAGCTGTCAAAACAACAGGCTGCACACCACTCCGCTCTGTGGCCTCCTGCTAAAGCCCAGAGTATCTGCTCTGACCTCTGAAATCAAAGTGGTGTGTGGCACCTTCTCAGATCCATTTGGAGTGTGTCTAAACGTGCAGTGTGCTCTCTCCAGGGAGGACTTCAACATCAAAGTGCTGCTGGCGTTTGTGGAACTACATGAGTTTGCAGACCTCAACCTTGTCCAAGCATTAAGGTGAGTGTTTGGAGCAAAAGCAGCAAATTACAATGATAGTGTTGTCATGGCTTCTGCTTCCAACAACAGTGGACTGCTTTATGTACCCTCTTCAAAGGAAATAACATGAATAAATAAACATTATCTTGACTGTTTCACTTTTAATTATAGCATGGACTAAACTTGCCTTGGGCTGCTTTTTCTCCTTTGAAGAAACACATAAATATTAACTTTATAGTACTGAACTAGTTAGCAGCCAGGAGCATTGGTTTGTTTCTACAAAATTCTTCTGTTTAACATTTTAACATTATTAAGTAATAGCTGAGAGTGTGGGACATGATTAATTGAATCATCACTTTGGCCTCGTACCATTAAGGACATTAGCATAATACATCTCCAGTGCATCCTTCACAGTGTCCTCATGTGTGCAGACAGTTCCTCTGGAGCTTCAGATTACCTGGTGAAGCTCAGAAGATTGACCGCATGATGGAGGCCTTTGCCTCCAGGTACTGCCAGTGTAACCCTGGGGTTTTCCAGTCCACAGGTAATATACGTGCACATGCACACACACTCTCACACTAACATTTCATATTAGAGAGGGTCTTGAGCATTGTGCTGTAATTTGATCAGAACTTTAGTAAAATAAAAGACACTCACAAACTGTGGGTGTAATTATCTCCTCAGCATTAGTGCACAGATCTGTGTTTGTCGCTGTGTCTCCAGTGATAATGGAATTGATCAGTGGTCAATAGCACTTGTTAGTGCTGTGTTGGCTGGTCCCTGGTCTGGTCCCTGGTCTGGTCTCTGGTCTACGCCCTGGGGGCGTGTGGAGGGGACAGGTGACAGCAGGAGTCATGAATATTGAAGCAGTGACAGACACAGTTATTGGTGGTCCCTGGAGCCGCTGAGGGGGCTGTAAATCACAGCTCGCTGGTGTGGACAGTGTACGGATGAGAAAGACGAGATATGACCACATGTGTCCAGTGCTGAGGACCCTTTTGAAATATGTGCTGCTCTTTGTTGATTAGATTTTCTTTTTATTTGACAAAAAACAGTATTTCATTTAGTGACAGTATCTTGAGATAGATATTGTGCATTATTCATGTGTGCTGGTCGAAGAGAGCTTATACTGTACACAGCCTGCTTATTGACTGAGTATTGTCTCCACAGACACCTGCTACGTCCTGTCATTTGCCATCATTATGCTGAACACCAGTCTGCACAACCCCAATGTGAGAGACAAGCCCCCCGTGGAGCGCTTCATCTCCATGAACAGGGGGATCAACGAGGGGGGGGACCTCCCCGAGGAGCTGCTCAGGGTGAGTCCAGCCGCTGCTCACTTTCTGACAAAATGCACTTTTTAACAAAATGCACTTTTTAACAAGAGGCATAGACTCTGGCAAGAGACATTTTAGATTTTTTCTCATGGCTGTTACTTTTCTGAAATTATGTGTTTCCTGAATTGACTTGTTTTGTAGAATCTGTACGACAGCATCAAAAGTGAACCTTTTAAGATCCCAGAGGATGATGGGAATGACCTGACGCACACATTTTTCAACCCCGACAGAGAAGGATGGCTGCTCAAACTCGGTTAGTGGCATTCTACTGTATTCGCTCTGATACATTATAGAGCTGTATCATTTTGAATATGTGATAATATATCTGTTGTGGATAATGACTCGTCATTGGGGTAACATGTCAGTTTTGTAAACTTAAACTCACACCTGGCTCTCTGCACATTCCTGCACTTGTATGTAACGTCTCCGTGGCCTCATTTAACTAATAAGCAGCAGTTTAAATGCCCCAGTGCGACTCTCCGTCCTGTGATTACATTCTGGAGCTGCTCCTTCTTGGAGCCATTCACATTTTTGACACAGTACACTTTTAGAAACACATTTTACTCTCTTCGTACAATATGGCACAGTGTGGAGAGGGAAACTGGCCACTTACTATAAGTCACACGTAAGGATTATTGGGCAAGATGTAATAAAAGGTGGAAAACAGGAAGTAGAATATGTTATGCACACGCTTATTATTAAAATATTATCACAATAACTTTTATGTGTAAGGCCTTTATGCATGTTTCTGCCAGTAGAGTCTGCATAGTGACTTAGAGTGAGAGGAGCTCAGGACTCAATCTGAAACATGAGAATGTGAAGAAAATGACATACGATGCGGAGGTCTGGGATCGTGTCTCAGCAGAAGACACGTTTTATTGTTGGTACAGTTTTCACAGCGTTCACATGGTTTCATACCAAGACAAAATACAGAGTCTCCTCTCAGCATCTGCTGCGTTGCCACTAGATAAGTTATGTTCTAACCAAAACCTCAAGTGGAAATTACAGACATGTTGTAATATCAACTCAGTTTGAACATATTTGCACAAAAAGACTCATAACATCTATGATAGACGTTTGGACTTTCTCCTGTGTTCTCTGTCCTTCTGAACATGAATGAGACATGTGCTCTGAGAACTTGCTCTATGTTGGTTTTGTTCTCCTAAGTTCCTTCAGGGCAGCTGGAGGTGCCATGTTCGCTTTCAGTCAACTGTGGTTTTTACTTTTGCTAAGATGCTGCAAAGATTTTGGTGTTTAAAAATGAATGAGGGCAGCGTGCAATAATTTATAAGGGACTGAGTCATCATTTAACTCACCCTGAGAAAAGTTAGATTATTTCTGCAGGTTTCAGGGAATGTTTAAACAGAGAGGTACACTGCCATATTTTATTATGGCATCCATGGCAGGGGAAGCAGTCTAAGCAGAGATGCCCAGACTTCCCTATTCTCTATTGTATTTTGAATTAAGAGTATAATTTTAACAAAGAATGTAACTGAGAGGTCAATTATTTCTACATGTTGACCTGTTGTCTGGGAACACCAAGAGAAGATGTAGATGTAATTTAAAATAGTTGTGACTTAACTTCTTCTTCTTCTTTTTGGATAAACATTTTTGTCACTGCATTTGCCAGATTGAAACAATTGGTCACATATTTAAAGAGCGTCTAAACACCTGTGACCAGCCTTACTCCGCCCACATGAACATTTGAAAATTTTCTCTTAAAACTGCGTTGCCTGGAGGACCAAGGGGCTTGGAGTTTGGCGTGGTCTGGGCTGTGATTGACAGCTCACTAGTCACACAAAAAAAAAAACAGACAGTTGTCATTGCTGCTTAAAGCAATAGTTTACACACCAGAAAGTCTCAACCCTTGTTAACACACTAGGATAATTGTAGAGCTACACACCTGAACCTAAGTCACTGATTTATCTCAGCAGCAGTGGTTGTCAACTCATGTAATTTAATTTTAATCCACTAGATGTCGCCAGAATACTTCAACCTGCTGCTGTGGCGTGTGTGAGAGTTGGATGGGTTCATATCACTGGCACAGACAGACGCACGTCACACACACAAAATGACGTCACTCAGAAATAGAGAGTCAATGGAGAGGCCAGGACCAAATTCAAATGTAGTACCATCGAAAAGGTTGAGAGGGCGCCACACACAAATACAGTCTATGGTTTTTTGGCTCAAAAGTGAGATTTTATCTAATTTGCACTAAAATGTTAAAAAAATGACCAGGATGTGTAGAGAGCACTACAATAAACATATGTATGCAGTTTATGAGTTGAAAAAAAGTTGATTTGGTGTTTAGTCGCTGTAATTCAATCCCACCATAGGTCATTGATTGGAGCAGTGACAACACTTTAAAATTGCTGTTTGATATTATAATAAATACATGTTTTAAATACATACTGTGGGACATATTATCGATACAGTAACATGCTTTTATGGTGGCGGTAGAAGTGAATGTTGACCTCCTCGGAGTCTGTCGGTCTGAGTGATCTCTTGTTCCTGTCAGGGGGCCGGGTGAAAACATGGAAGCGACGCTGGTTCATCCTGACTGACAACTGCCTCTATTACTTTGAATACACAACGGTAAGTCGCTTAAATGAAATGGAAAGTCATGAGTTTTGCAAGCTGTGCATAAACGCAGTGATTCAGATGAAGTTTGCTGACTTCATGATTGCTCCTCTGTGACGGTATAGAAAGCTCCAGAATCAGCGTCTCTGCCTCCTCAGCACCGTCCCCTCCATGTGTCCCCGGTCCCTCCACACACACACACACTCCAACCCAACCACCCAGCAGCACCGAATGTTTTTAAACCAGCCATTAGGATTTGGCTAATTCATGGGTTTAGGAGTGGAAACGAGCCCTTTCGCTCCAAATAATGTTATTCATAGTATGTTTTAATCCAGGATATTTGTTTCAGCTCAGTGCGGTTTTAAAAAGCTTTAGCCTTTTCCCAAATGCAGCAATAAAAACATTAACAAATATGCACTGCACGGTTATAAAACTAAAGTTAAAGCCGGGGTACCTTGTTTTTACACCACAGAAATCATCTCACTAGTGCGCTCAAAACAGTTTGGGTCTATATCTATCTGTCATATTTGTGTTTAGATCAGATTTGTCAGACAGAAAGGTTTAAGAGAGAGGACTACAATCTCTCTCTCAGCCCTTTCTTTATATTTGCAAAAGATGAACAAAATATAAAAGAAACATTGGAGGACAAAAAATGAACTAGAAAAGCACAAAAAATATGAAAGAACAAAGTTTTAAATCAATTTCTGGTATTCAACAGAGACATAAAAGCTAATGTTACTATGAAGTCTCGGGTTCAATTACAGATCAATTGTGACAAAAATCAAATGCCGTGATATTTACACAATAAAATAAATCTTTAAAGACAATAACATTTCACTTTTCACTCACTTATATATAGATGTAATTATTTTCCTTGGAATCTCCCACGGTATGACGTCAAACTGAGGATTTTCTTGATACAAAAAAATCTTTAAAAATGACACCAATTGATAACATATATTTGTGATTTTCTACTCTGTTCTTCCTCCTTCAGGACAAAGAGCCACGCGGCATCATTCCTCTTGAAAACTTAAGCATCAGGGAAGTGGAGGAGCCCAGAAAACCGGTGAGTTTGACGTTGTATTGTTCCAGATCTCCGGCTTTACCCAAATAAAGACGTCTTTGACATGGAGTGTGAGGGCTTTCTGACAGCAGCTTGTTAACGCCGCGGCTGTTTGTCTCTGTGCAGAACTGTTTTGAGCTGTACAATCCCAATCATAAAGGCCAGGTGATCAAAGCGTGCAAGACGGAGGCAGACGGACGCGTCGTGGAGGGGAACCACGTGGTCTACAGGATCTCAGCGCCAACGCCGGAGGAAAAAGAAGAGTGGATCAAGTCTATAAAGTAAGATACAGAAGCTAACTCTGCAATAGCATTTGACACGTAACTTGGAAAATAGTAATAATAAGGGTCAATACTAAGGAAGGTGAATGGTCAGAGTGAGTTGGGGGCTGTGTTTTTGTTCTTCTATGTGTGTGTGTGTGTGTGTGTGTGTGTTTGTATTGTGTGAACGGGGGGGGGGGGGGGGGGGCGGGCATTTGTTTTGTCCAACTGTATTTTTCAAGTCTGATGTCTGTATCTTAATGGTTTTGTTATGCTGTTTGAAAAATACAAGTTAGAAATAAACACTTACTTATTAAAGCTGGGGTACCTGACTTTCCCCCATTGTGTGTGTGTGTGTGTGTGTGTGTGTGTGTGTGTGTGTGTGGGCTTCTGGACTGACTGAGCTGGACTTTGTAGATGGACTAAGATGTAGGAAAACTCTCATTGACTCATTACAGTTTATTATATTTTTTTACTCTGTGATACACAATCCACCAGTCGGGCAAAAGGAAAAAAAGTAGCGTTTGCTGTGTAGGCACATTGTTTTGATGGCACACACATAAATATACTGTGATCACATTTGAGCTGACTTACCGTAAAAGGAAAGTGACAGTTTTCATCTGTGGGCAGACGTCTGTGGACTATTGCATTTCTTATTCAGTCATTCAAACTACGGATAAAGATACAATTAGATAGAGAACGTTTATTCATCCCACAGAAAAAGGTTGAAACAAGGATTCTTAAAATAATGAATAAAACGTGCCTGCAGTGGCCGGCACGTTGTAGTTCCCAACAACCCATCTTGGTTTGGTTCAGGAGTCACGACTGCGAGTAATGGAGAAAAACAAGCGATACATTAACTTAACAATTACATATCAAAGCTTTCATGAGATCTTTGTTTATTCGTAATATTTAGGTTAATTGATAAACGCATTTCATTATTGGTGTGTTATGAGTGTGTATCTTGTTTTGTAAACCGCTGACCTACAGCTGCCCTTGCTTACATTGACCCGTGTTGAATGGTCTATTGTCCACAGAATTTGCTGCAAAGTCAAAGACAGTTGGTTCAGCAGAACAGAGCATTGTACAGCGTCTCCCTCACTCTCCATATTCAAACACACACAGAGAGTTCCCCGAGGAAGAGATGAGAGATTAGTCAGATCTCCGTAAACCCTGGGGCTGAGCCAACAACCTCCATTCAACTCACCAGAGGAGGGCGCTCTGCTCTTGCCTCACAGGACATGGGGTCATATACAAATATTATACACATATCATACAGATAATATATATGTGTCCTACAGCTTGGATGAGCAGAGAGAGTGGTAGATAAGTATCTAGATGTTGAAGCAGTAAATCAAGTCAATCAAGTGTTAAACTCTATGAAACAGTTATTTGTTTCTGATTTCTATAATCACATTAGTTGCAGTTGGTGGAAAATGACAATTATGTGTGCTTTGTGGTTCTTGTTTTTGGTGTGTGACGTGTAAAGTGAATGAGATATATCCACAGCGGGGGGTAGAGCCTCTTCCTCTTCTGTGCTAACCGGATTTTAAAGCTGTGAAGCGGTCCTCTTCAGTGGAACCCGAATGGCTTCCTGACTCATTGCCTCAGCTCTGTGTCGCATTGTTGCCTTTGCTTTAGCGCAGGTTGTTAAAAGTCCATAATCTCAAGTGACATTGTTTGTCCTCATTCAGACCCTCTAACCTGCAGCAGTGCTTCCTCCATGCTCCACAGGGTCCTGGGGCAAGGATCATTGAGATGTTCCAGAAAAACCTAAGGAAAAGGGAAACTTAGGAGGGAGGGGGGTGTCTACTCAGAAACCATGGAAACCAAACTAGGTCATTGCATAAAGTTGTTTTCTTTTCTGATCTAGTTGAGGCAGTGGTTTGTGTAAATGTGTCCACAGTTCCAGATGAAAGTGTCCTCTCATGTGGCCTTGTTATTGATCTCATTACTGCACTGTGATTGACCTCTCCAGGGCCAGCATCAGCAGAGACCCCTTCTACGACATGTTGGCCACCAGGAAAAGGCGCGTCGCAAACAAAAAGTGAGAGTGGTCCATCCTCCTCTAACCTACACTTCATTGTTCTCATCCAACTCCACAGAAGAGCCCACAACAGTGAGGGATTGTGTCACTGTGGGGGTCTGCTAGCATCAGGACAGCTGCCATGTTTGCATGTGGTGACCATAGACTCTTTTTGTTTGTGAATGAAGTGTGCATGCTGTTAGTGCACATGGCACCTTCACTGTGCTTTACCAAAAACATGTATGAAGAACACGTGTGTCTGTGACTCCGAGGAGAGAGGAACCTCCAAAACAACAGCTCTGGTTTGTGTAGACGTCAGCTGGGCTGATTTCAGAAGTTTGTGAAGTGCAAACATTTTATATTAGTTCTATTGTTCCGGTGCTTTTGCAAAGGCTGAACTCCTCAGTGGACTGAAGGGGTTGGATGTGGCTCTGCATTGGCCTAATGGGTACCAGTCTAATTAAGCTCATTTCTCCCTTTGACCTGTCAGTGAAGGTCAGCGTATTGTTCTAACCTTGTTTGTATTTGTTTGTAATCCTTCAATGCTTGCTTTGTATTCATCTTAAAAAGATATAGCCTGTTGCTGATTTGAATTTATTTCCTTTGTAAAATGGTTTACTCTTTCTATAAATGTTCTTCTCCCTATACTTAAGTTATGTGTGTATATATCATGTATAAGTTTGTTGTCTGTTGTAAAATGCACAGGTGTGACATGAGTCGATCGGCAGAAGTTGCATCACTTGTTTGGGGTATTCTTTACTAAGCCTTAAACGTCAGAATATGAAATCCATGATGTGTATGAGACTGAGAGGGTGTCGGTAATAAGACATGACTGATGTAAAGTGCTTATATTTATGATGAACATTATAGAAAAATTACAAACTGATGCAATGTTTATAATGGTAAAATAAATATCTATTGACAATGTCAAATCTATAAAATAAACTGTTAGTTTTTTATGTGTGATTTGTAAAGAAAATGAAGCATTGTGTCAGAGGCACAACATTGTACTGCCCTTGTGGGCAATCGTTTTTATATTCTGTAAAATCTATTGGTAACATTGCACATGATATGTATCTACATAAAGAATATATATGATGCCAACTGCAGTTGTATTGTGCATTTATTATTGATGCTGATCTTGACCTACATATTTGCATTGAAGAAATGATGCAATGAATTGAAGACTTCTCTTGGGGAAGCTCTGAATATTCCAGTGCTCTAACATTAAGATGCGTGAGGAGTGAGCACGAGCCTCCTTAGAAGAGGAGGCTCGTGCTCCCACTGGGAGAGGAGCAAAGTGCTTTACACACAGGCAGGAAATAATGAGACAAGTGCGCCCTCATGTGGTCAGAGTCTAAACATTCTGTTTAGCACCAGCTTTTATTACTATAGTTTAGTGAGGTCTCAACAAAGTTGAATCAAAATGGCTCTTGTTAATAAAGAGATGTCTATAGAACATTCACGTTTTTGATAATATTATTGTATAATAAGAGTGATATATACAGGTGAACTATGTAGTTGATGACACTAAGTACTTACATTGGACATAATCATAAACTGCTCCAACAATATATAGATATTGGCCTCAAGTTTATGTTAACAACTGAAAAAAATATGTCTCTGTTTCTGAAAAATAAAAAGTACAATCCTGTATAAACAGCTGAAATCCAAGTGCACAGTCCTTAGTGTCCAGTCCTGAGTCTCAGCAGGGAGAGGAGGACGCCTGGTCGTACTCGGGGCACTTGAGCAGTGCTGGGTAACTGCTGCTCATCTGGAGAGACGCCTCACTGGAGATGTCCGAGGGACTGCGGCCTCGGGACCAGGCCTCCGGGTGCAAGAACTGTCCTGAGTGGTCCGAGCAGTTACTGAGGCGCGGTCGGTAGAAGGCGGCGTGACGCGGCTGGTACAGCTCTGCAGAGTAACGCTTCATGAAGAGGTAGACCGACATCACACCTGCACTCTGTGCACAAAGACAAAGACTCAGAATCCAGGTATTCCCACAGACTCCTTCACAATGATCTTATTCCATGTGTGGATCAGATAATTAAAAGATGTATTAACTTCAAAGAGACTAAAGCAGAATGTAGAGGGGAAGTTGTTGTGGGGGAAAGCATTTTTATCATTGTTCATGTGTTCTAATGTTCATTGTGTCTTTAAATAAAATTTGTAATCAGTGAAGTGGAGCATTCTTTAAGTGTGTGAGAGAGAGTGACTGTACAGGACGAGGTGGGCATCACCACAGTATTTGTATATTTCCGTACCTCTGTGAGCAAGAATGAGATGGCAGAAAATGCAAAGGACCATCCGTATTTGTAGGAGAAGAAGGCCTCACTGCTCTTGGGCCGATTCAAAACTTCATCATTTATACTGGAGATATACAGCACCAGGCCCACGACCAGAGCCAAGCCTAAAGTCACAAGAGAGGGTTGGATGAAAGGACACATAGTACGAGAACAGCACAAGCTTAAAGAGCGAGGACCTGAGAGGATGAAGAAGATCCCAGAGACAAAGGCCAGGATGCTGCGGTGTGGACGCACATGTCCAATGTTGTTCAGGACGAAACCGATGAACATGAAGAAGAGGCTGACAAGAGGAAAGGGCGTGGCCGAGCGGATCATCTCTGCACAGACAACACAGACAACAGCAGTGATAGTGTTCAGTAACACAGAATATCTGCAATCCTGGGGTCCAGAAGTTTAAGCATTCTCTGCTAATTCTTTTAGGATGATTTCTATCACTTCTCACCTCCTTCAAGTCTGATCTGAAGCTTCTGATAAGTTTGCTGACAACATTTGAGGTAATTGATGGCACAATAACATCCCAGACACACTTAATTCTTGTTTGAAAACATACACAATAATTATCATAAATATAATGATAGCAACAATAAAGATTATAATAAGAAGGTTGAGCTTCCTCCCAGCCACTCTGCGGAACTTCCTCCGCAGAGTGGCTGGGCTGGGTGAGGAGCTCGGTCACACGGGAGGAGCTCGGAGTAGAGCCGCTGCTTCTCCACGTCGAGAGGAACCAGTTGAGGTGGCTCGGGCATCTGTTCAGGATGCCTCCTGGACGCCTTCCTGGGGAGGTGTTCCGGGCACGTCCCACCGGGAGGAGGCCCCGGGGAAGACCTAGGACACGCTGGAGGGACTATGTCTCTCAGCTGGCCTGGGAACGCCTTGGGGTCCCCCCGGACGAGCTGGAGGAGGTGTGTGTGGATAGGGAAGTCTGGGCGTCTCTGCTTAGACTGCTGCCCCCGCGACCCGGCAACGGATAAAGCGGTAGAAAATGGATGGATGGATGGATGGATAAGAAGGTTGATTAAATCACCTGGGCTATCGGAAACAAGAATTGTGGATCTAAATAAGTCAATAAGTGGTTCATTCCTGGGTACAATTTCCAAATGCTTAAAGGTCTCATGCAGTCTTGTGTTGGGGGTGCATTATAAAAGATGCATCATGAAGAAACAACGGTAAGTGAAGATACTGATGCAACATCGTACGATGTGATATTGGGTGGAAATTGAGTCTTCCAAATGGAGAATGGTAGTTGGAGAGTCTTAAGGACATCAAAGGACATATTTTTGAGTGGTCATTGCAAAGCTCAATCCTATAGAAATGGCAAACCTGTCTCGGTTCCACCAGCTCTGCATGAATAATGGGCCAGAACTCCAGACAAATATTGTAAGAAGCTTGTGGAGAGATACCCAAAATGTGTATTCATATAAACTTCTGAATTTAGAGACAGCAGAAAAAAAGGAAACAATTCACCTCTCATTATAATGTAGTATTAAGCAGATGGAAAGCTTTATGGTTCAAAAATAACTGACCTACATCTATTTTTTTTTTTTGCTTTTGTTTTACTTACATTTGGAAATCTGTCCAATGCATTTGACCCATCCTGTAATGCCACAAGGGCCTCTGTCAGGACCAGCGTTCGTAGCATTATCCATCTGCAGATAGTGACGCTCAGCTTGGTCAGGACTACCGGGGCTGGAGGTTTTTTTTTTTTTGACAGACAGACAGACAGCCATTCTCTGATCTGGCTGTCAGACATTAAGGCTTCCGCAAACCCAACATCAGAGCCTCAGTCAGAGGGGACTGTGCGGTTCCTAAATTCAAAACATCTTTGAGACAGTCCACCTTTACCCCAAATGGAGCCGGACTGTGGAACGCTCCTCCCACTGACCTAAAGCTTCAAACAGACTTAAACATTGTTACCAGGCATCTCAAATGTGGCTGAAATTGGAGCAAAGTTGTTTAAATATTTAGATAACTGTACATTGGATTAATTGTATATTTGAAAAAGTTGAATGTGTGCATTTATGTTGAAAAGTATGTGTTGCTATAACACAGTGCATCTGATATTTTGTCCATATATGATAAATAAATAAATCAAATAATTTAGTGGTAGGGGAAACTTGAACACCTGGAGGAAATGTGTTGTTTACTCTATGTGTGTAAACTTCTGGTTTCTCATGAAATTGTAACTAAACATTTGTAAATGAAGATTACCGATTATAACCTTCTCTGTTCATTTTTTAGAATAATTTCTATAACTTTTCACCTCCTTTAATTCAGAAGTTTGCATACATAAATATCACTATGTCTTTAAACAATGCTGCCGTGGCCTTGGAAGCTCCTGATTGGTTTGCTGACAACATTTGAGGTCAATAGTGACACAACAACATCTGAGACACACTGCTTTCTTGTTTGAAAACATAAACCAACAATTAAAATATAATAATAATGTATACTTTTAGTGCTGTATCCTTTTCCTATACTTTAACAAATGCATTGTGGTTTCTGGTCAGAGCAATGAATCTCTAGATGTGGACAGAAAGACCAGAGAGACAGACAGACGCCCATCCTTCTGTGGCCGTGGACTCACTCAGCACATTCATGGTGGACTCAGACGTCAGCTGTACTTTGGAGGGCATAATGTACTCGATGGTGAAGCAGCGGCCACTTTCTTCACCTGAGACAAAAACACAAATTACCAGGATTTTAACGAACATGACAGAAGGAGCAGGTGCAGCAGGTGCAGCAGGTGGAGCAGGTGCAGCAGGTGGAGCAGGTGCAGCAGGTGCAGCAGGTGCAGCAGGTGGAGCAGGTGCAGCAGGTGGGAGGTCAGGAGCTTTCACAGTGAGAGAGGAAACACACAGGCACTGGCCAAACACCTCACTCTAAACTAAAACCGTTTGAAATTTGCAAACAGAAAAGGTTTTTTATTGTTATCGAGCAGTAATGTAAGATGAAGCTGGGGATCTAATTTTCAAACCACAGAAATTCCATCTAATTAGTTCCTTACTCTCAAAAAAGTTTGGTCCATCACTAGTTTCCATCTGTTTCATGTTTATTTTTTATAGACAAGTGAAAAAGAGAAGACCACGCTCACTCACAAACACGGCACGTCCTCAAAACATGCAATCTGATTGGTTCACATTCAACATTTAAATTGGATAACCCAGAGCTCATTTATTTATTTTCTAATTAAAGCCTTGCTAATTTCATTTTTTTTTGGCTGGTTATGTATTTGTTGAACCCAAATGGTTTTACATGTTTGAAGATTTGTCACTGCATTAATCAATCACATTCAAAGCTTAATTTCCTTGTAATTTATCAGAAATGTCTTTAAACCAGTGAAGAAAAGACTATTCTGGATTATTTATCCTTTCTCATGTTTGGATTCACCTGCGTATGGAGGTCCAGGTCACTGACGTTACAAACCAAGTATGAGTTCCAACAATTTTCATACCACTGTACTCCTGTTTTATCCTTTTTGATTTTTAGTGATTTTACTCTTTTCTGTGAATTTGTTTTTGATTGTTTTCTGTCTTATATATACTGTATATAAAGTGTATTGAAATGACAGAATTAAACTAGTATATATTCTATTTGAGCATTTATACCAGCAGAAGCACAGAGCAGCACAGAGCAGCAGACCCAGGACGTGTGTCCGCTCTGTCATCTGTGACCTGTCAGTGTGACGAGACCCCGAGCTGCTGCCACATTTAGATTTAGGGCAGAAATGACTTTTAATCAGAGATGTGGGCGAACGGCAGCTGACACCACCGTGAACTGAGCAGACTGTGGTCTCTTCAGCAATACTGATTATTGTGACGGTTCAATAGGCCTTCAGAGTCATCAGTGTTGTGCAGTGATTTCTCTGATTGTTCCTAAAATGAGTAGAAGTGAACAACATTAATTATCTACTTTTCATATTGGCAGAGAAGTTCACAATTACTCATCAGGTTAAGTAAGTAAGTAAGTAAGTAAGCTTTATTTATATACCGCCTTTCACAGACCAGAGTCACAAAGCGGTTTACAATTGTTATTTTTTGGGCACTTGACATCTCACTCCACACAGAGATGGGAGCGGGGTTCATTCAAATAAACTTGTAAACACTTCTTTAACTGTAACACAAATCTGCATCATGAAAAACAAGTGACAGAAGTGACTTCCAACCTTTTATATGGAATGACTTGATCTAGGGCTATGGTGATTATTATTATTATTATTATGAACAGCGCCATCCCGTATTAAAACCAAATTAAAACGTACAACACAGTGAGGAATTAAAAAAACATCATGAGTCCCACCCCTGCCCAGGCACGTCACCTAATAAAAAACATAATGAACACTATTGTGTTCAGAAAAACCTAACGTTATCCCATGTTTACTTAATTCACATAATTTGAACAATGAAAAATATGTTTCTAAATTTCTGCTATGTCTGTAACATTTACATGAACCTAAAAACTTTAAAACATTAAAATCACACACAGGATTAAAATCATGAATAGCCACAGTGCATTAAAAAGAGTAAATATAAAATCATTCATTTGTAGAGATGAAATCCTTAGCTATATACTGTAAATGTGCCGTGATGCACTCACCCATGAGGAAGCAGACCCTCCAGAGCCCCGCATGCAGAGAGCTGCGGGTGTCGGTGGTCTGGTTCAGGGGCAGGATGAGGCCCTCCTCCAGGTACAGCCAGTAGTCGGTGCTCACGGCCACTCCCAGCAGCCCCAGGCCACTGAGGGCAAACACAGAGCTGAGGAGGGTCAGCGCTTTCCGGCCGCACGCACTCATGACCACAGCTGGAAGAGGAGACACAGCACAGGGGAAGTCATGTCGAATGTGCAGAAAGAACAATACATTTCACAGTAATATTGTATAAACATGATCATGAGTATAATTGATCGCTTTAAAAAGTAAGAACACTTTTCATTCATGAAACAGGCTTTTATCTAGGGGAATAAATAGATCTTTTCCCCCAAAATAAAGGGGGAAAATATCCATAGAAATAAAAAAAAAATCTGTCATTTTTGCTTTGTAAATTTTTCAAATCCATCAGAGGAGGCAGGAAAACATATGAAAAACATTGTCCTTCAGATGACTTGTCCTGTGCTTGTTTCCATGGAAATGTTGTCAGTATGTTTAGTCTTAGATTACCACAATAAATTGGGCTAATTCCTTGTTTTCAAAAGTCACCCTTCATTTTTATAAAGTGCCAAGTCATCAAAAAACCCAAAACATATACAAAATGTAGAATCCTCCAGCTCCGGAAGTCCTGACCACGCTGAGCATCAACATCTGGAGATGGGTCCACAGCATAGATCTATCAGGTCCACAGCATGGATCTGAATATCAGGTCCACAGCATGGATCTATCAGGGTCCACAGCATGGATCTATCAGGTCCACAGCATGGATCTGAATATCAGGTCCACAGCATGGATCTATCAGGGTCCACAGCATGGATCTATCAGGTCCACAGCATGGATCTAAATATCAGGTCCACAGCATGGATCTATCAGGGTCCACAGCATGGATCTATCAGGGTCCAGGTGCTGCTTTGTGTGACCACTGCTCCGGACAGGTCGCTCTACTGGGATTGAATATATTTGTTAAAGTTAAGTACTTTAACCTTCACCTTAAAAACAGTGACTAAACTGGGTCCTCTGTGTAGCGCCAGCAAGAATTTATGTTACTGGTCTTCCAAGCGAGGATCCAAAGGTATCCATAATTGTTTGTTGATTTGATAGTGACCTTTCAGTAAGTGCAGAGATTTAGTCATGTCAAGTCATGTCAGTCAACATGCGTAACACAAATCAATAGCAGGGTATAGTTGACTTGAGTGTAAACCTAGACCACTGCTATATTAAGACCACGCAGATACAAACAGCACATTGTGTTTCCAGTAAATGTGAAGATATTTGAGCCATGACTTTTATTGATGTTCACCAGCCACAGTCTTCACTGAACTCTGGGTGCAAAAAGATTCAACAGAAACATTATCCATAAACAAACCATTTCAGGTACTTTGAGAGAGGGCCAAGTGACCTTCCTGAATATCTATCTTCTCCAAAACGGCCACTTTCTCAATCACACTTCATAACAGTGAACCTGAAGATTAGTAGACTATATTTAGTTACTGTGGGTATCACATAAAATATCATGTGTCAACGGAAAATAGATAAGATCATTAACGATTTTTAAAGTGGTCAATATTTCAGTGTTTAAATAACGCGACCCCGTCACAGTCCGTAATATACAGTAGCACTGCCGCTGCTCAGATGTGGACGCATCGTGTTATTGTCTACGTGACAATAACACGTCACCTTGAACGACGACTTTGAACTAATTCCATAATAGACTTTTAGTCACAATGATGAAGTTGATTGCAGTTTACTGACGGTGAAGTGCTCACCTGTTTGTGTCGCTGATCCTTCAGATGAAGCAGTTGTTGTGGATTCAAAGTGTTTTGTTAAAAGAAGTCCTCAAAAAAGAGACATAACGAGCATTCTTAAAGGAAAGTTCCGGCGCGGCTCACGCTGCGCTGCGCTGCGTGTGGAGGAGCGTCAGCACTGGACAGCTCCTCTGAGGAGCACGAGCTCTACAGGCGGGACCAGCAGGGGCGGAGCGAGGGCTGTGGCGGCCCGAAGCAGCGTTTTGGGGCCCTTCACATGTGAATGAAGACGGGGCAACCGACAGTTCTCTTTTCTAGTGGATAATAATATAATATGATTAGGTTTCATAGTTTGAAAATATGAAACAAATAAACGAATGCTTTCCTGTGAACATCAGCTCATCACTCTGAGGCTACTTGTATTTTACAAAACACTGGAGGCTCTGAAGTGAGTGACATTGATTAAAGCAGCCGACATGAATAATAATGATCTCATTACCTATACCTATCAGGAGTGCAAATTTTAATTAAGTCCTTTTCAAATTTATCACAAAACCTTATTGATCTCAGGAGGGACATGTTCATGCTCATGTTTTAGCCTCTTAAAGCATTACACATCGGGATGGCCCAATAGAAACGTCGATTGATTATTAACACAAATACTTCACATAATTCAGCGTTTTATTTTTCAGTAAATTTCTGTGACATTTTACTTCTAAGAACGTCACAATTATTTTTGACGATTATATTGTAACATTGTGGGAGTATGTATTCCACACATGGGGATACTGCTTGTATACTGTTAGTATGTCCATCCATCCATCCATTTTCTACCCTTTAATCCATTTCTGGGTCAGGGGGGTGACAGTCAGAGATGCCACCCAAGTCTCATAGCACCAGCCCCTCACTGACCCTCTGCAGGTGGTGAGTCCACAGGAGGACGGCTGCTCTCTGAGTGTGAGCATAGCCTTGATCTTTCAGTGGGGGCTTTTGGGCAAAGTGGGGTTAAGTGTCTTGCCCAAGGACACAACGACAGCAGTCATCAGTGGGAGTCGATGGAGAAGGTGCAGAGGTGGGAATTGAACCCACGACCTTCTGGCCTTAAGGCCAATGCTCTACCAACTGAGCTACTGTCGCCCCACTGTTAGTATGTAAATACAGTAAATCCAGTTGACGAGACAAATCTCATCACAATCACAATCTCATTTATATCATTGGATTTTTCCCCCATTCCCATTCCCCCACAATTTCTTATAAACAATACCATAAAGAAAGTAATGTACATATTTTAAAATACCTAAGAATTTCTGCATGAATAAATGAAACCAAACCTTAATATTAACCTAATAACCGTTGAACAGCGGAGACAGAAAAGCATTGGGGACACATTTTAGAGTTTATTTTGTATACACAGTATCCATCATAGCACAATTAACAGAGGAACAAGAAGAGTGAGGATAACAAAGCAGGGGCAGTCCACACATCCCCGTGGTTCTTCTGACAGCTGCAGTGACACGTACCCGGACTCTGTGACAACACTACTTCTCAATGTGAGACATGTAATCCTTTTCCCATCTCATTTTGGTCCACACGAGTGATTATACAAACGACATCATGGAGCTCCAGACATTCAGTTTGGCAGTTTTAAAAAGCTGTATTGAATTGTATAGCTTGCCTCAAAGTAACAGTTATACTCATGAAACAAAGAAATCGGTATATGGCACGAACGTAAGCGTTAATACGTTGTTTATCACTGTTTATATTTCAGCTCTCAGGCCAAAAAGGCGGGCTACATGAAGCACTGGGAAAGAATCAGGAGCAGGAAAGCATACAATACTTGCTGGTTCACTTCTTGTAAGGTTCCATGCTTCGCAGCGGGGGAAGATCCTCCAGTACCATAGCAAAAAGGCTTGTCTACATCCTTCGAATCAAACATGCACCGGTACAAAAATACACGGAAAACTAAGACCGGAAATACTTCATGAATAAGCACTGTGATTTCAGTCCCATAAAACATGAGGATTAGGTGGTCTGTCGGCGACCAAGGCAAAAAGGGCGTCCAATCACGTACCGGATACGTGCTGCAAAAAATTCACATGAGGTACACAGAAAGTAGAGGAAAACAAAATGGAGAAAAAACATATGATCTACGCAAGATACCACAAGCTCAAACCAAAAGATTCGTCTTCTGCCAAGCTTTGTCGTTCTTTTAAGGGGTCATCTCTAAACACATAGAAATCGTCTAACGTAGTAAAAGCACATTCATTTTGTTGTATAAAATATTTTTTAGAATATATATTTACAAAAATTGTTGACAAGGGTAAACGTCTCCAGACTGAGAGGAAAAGCAGAACATAAACAGGAACGAAAGCGTTTTGTCATAGACTTTTTTCTTTACAACAATAATACATAACATAGCTTATACTAGCCTTTACATAGAAACCAGACTGTAGATCTACTGTCCATAGAGTCAGAAAAATAGCATGCGACAGAGAACTTCTTAGTGCATATACTCAGATTCATGAAATACCAAAATACTTCCCCTTTAACACTTTTTCTGACCCTATTTGCCAGAACCCTGCAGCCTCCCACAGAAGAAAGAGTTGGTAGATTTAAGACTTGCTGTATGTGCATTTGACAGTAGCTCAAACTCAAAACAGGTTCGGATGAGATTTAAAAAAAGAAAAAAAGAAATGCTTAATTTTCCACTTTGGCACTCTCTTTGCTTGATGTAACAGTTTAGTACTACATGAGTTGGTGTGGAAAATAAGTTAAAGTGACATTATGGTTCTATAAAGAATGAAATCTGTTGTAACAGTGTCGATGTGTTACTTTAAAGTAACTAAAACACAATCTATATTTGATGTATGATGGAGCTGCCAAGTGTCAATCCGCTCTGATTCAGGAAGTAAATACAAATACTCACTACTTCACTTTCATATAGTTGTATGTAGTAGTTGACAAACTGTAAACTGTGCAGTGGGAGTAGTAGAAGCGAGGGAATCCTGATGAGAAGGCTTTCAACCAGTGGCCTCAGTGTTATCAACGCATTATTATTGTCAGTTAAAATGATCGCCACCTGCTGGCTATTTGAAGAACTGTAGAATTTAAATTAACGAGGGGATATTGAGAGCTTTCTCCTCGTTGGCGTTGGTTTTGTTTGGTGCAAACTCCTTCTAAGATTTATGGAAGCTCTTCTATCTTTAGATTGCGTGCATTAAATAAATGGTATATGACTACAAAGCATTATGGAAGGTGCAAGTAGCAAATTGAGATCTTGAAGACAAGTGCTAACTAGCTTCCTGCTAACTATTGTTCACAGCGCAGTTGCTTTCAGCCCAAAAGCACAAATAAAACATAAAACATCTCAAAATACGTTCATAACTTTGCGTTTTTTTACAGATTTAAAAATATACTTATAATATACTTTCTGTTTTATTTATTAGAAATAATTTAAAAATGATAACAATAAAGATAAATAAATGTTTTCTTCATAACCTGGAGGCGGGCGAGCACTTTGCAGCTCCATGTGTCTGGTAGATCGATGCTATTATGAGATGGTCAAATGCATTTTATAAATAAATACGCAACTTTTTACACAGTGGTCCAACATATTTGAAAACAATATGTCCAGCTCGTTGTGAGGGATACAGCATTAGGAAAAAGCAACTGTACAAATTAAGGTTTCAGAAAGTGAACAGAAACATGTGCATCTTCCCAGTCGCTAATGTAACGGATCATGGCGGATGTCTGAGATTTCTGGAAGAGTCCTTTAGCCGCTGCTCATACGACGCTGTGCAGCGACGGGTGCAGGAACTGGGGGTTGATGTAGGAGAAGCCGGCGAACTCGCTCTGGTCGATGTTGGCGATCACCAGCTGGTCCGGAGGGGTCAGGACGGGCTGTGTGCGCGTGAAGAATTTGTCAAAGTTCTCAGCGCCTTTGCCGCCCTGAAAGAGATTTGTAAAAAAAATTAAGCACAAGCAATCTGATCTTGACAAGAGGAGATGTAAACAGTGACAAAAGTCACTGTTTTATTTCTGGTTGCTATTTTATCTGGAATGTTCCACAGAACGGCACAATTTCCATTCACATTGAGGACAAGCAAGACTTAATTTGGGCAACTTAAAAGTGATATCTGCAGTGATGTTTTTGAGCTGTGAAAACATCTGTAATTAATTAGATAATATCATTCTGAGGTACATTCCAAGAAAAGCAATAAGCAGCAAGCAGGAAGCAGACCTACGCAGAAAAGTCATTACTATTATTATTATTATTATGATCCAGACAGCCATTTTTGAGGCTCTATTATTTAAATCTACTTTTGAGTAACAAAATCGAGTACTTTTTCTATCATTGTCAAAGCCTATGTAAGTTGATGAATATTGTCTCTTCTACTGCCGCAGCACTTTCAAAGAGCTTTTCAACCCATATTTGTCACAACGAAAGAGATCAGACGCTGTTAGATGTGAGGGGTCATAATGATTAGTTAGATCTGATGCTTGTAACTTAAAAGACTTTTCATGCTGTTTCTATTAGATGGCGCATGGTTGGTCCCAGAGGGAAGGTGCTGGGAAATGTCGAAGTGTGTGTGTGCGTGTGTAACCAGGCAGAGGTTGTAATCAAACTAAGAGTTGTCCACAGTAGAGGTCACAGCGTCAGTGCAGATGCGTGGCAGCCGTCTCCAGCTCATCGACATGTTATCCAGATGTATTTGCCATTTTCCAAAATGTAAGAGAATGTCACCCATCTTTGCCTGTGTGATTGGTGGTGGGTGGAAGGAGGGACGGAGCACATTGGAATGTTAGGTTGGGCGGTTTGACACGGGCATCTCTGTGGTATTCTTTTATATTATTATTAATCATGAAAAAGCATAGAGGATAAGCATAAGAGGCTCACAGCCTCTCGCAGCCGCATTACAAAGCGGCCGCAGATGCCCCGGAACACTACGGCCGCTGAGGTGGCGGAATCCAGTTCGAGTGCATACAGCAGGTGCCCCGCGGATACGGGCGCCCCGCTCGAACAATTCTCAACGGATTTACACTTCTCATAAACATGTGTTTTGTATGAGGCAGACAGACCGGCCCAACTATGGCCAGTCCAGCCCTGTCCGCTGGCATCCTTGAGCTTGGACTACAAATTCGAAGTAATGCACAGTAGAGGAGGGCTGGGCCGAAGTGTTTTGTTAGACGCCCATGCCCTTATATAGCAGTCCCGCTGCAAATACTGTGACGTAATAATTCCAAACACGTAATAGAGAATGGCAAAATCAGAACGGGTTGAAAAATCTTAACCAAACAGAATATGAAGTGTTCTCTGCAACCCATGAAGAGACTGATTTCAACTTTTTTGCACTCCTAGAGGCTCCCAACTACACAACATAAGGCATTTAAGACACAAAAAGTGGATTTTTCATGATATGTCCCCTTTAAATGGCTCTACTTGGATAAAATTGCTGTTGTACATAGTAATTCAGTTCTGTGGGGTCCTGGGTGCACTGCGACGAGGACTTTAGAAGACTTATCTGACTTATTTGAGCAGATTAGCAAAATGGGAAGTTTGTTTTGACCTTATATTTTAACACATCACTGTCTTCCCGGTGGTGAAACATCAACACAGGTAAAAATAACTTTGAAATCATTTCGACTGCAGCATTTCAAAACAGCATGAAACTGTAATAAACCCTCTCCTGCGCAAATGTTGTATCCAAACAAATGACAATGACAATGCGACAATGAATTTACATGAAAACACATGCTTGCGCTGAGAAGGAGAATTGCAGTGTATATGTGTTCTGTATATAGATATCCCCAGAGAACCATCAGCCTGCTTTGAAATTGCATAACATTAGGCTTTATCCTGAGTCCTGTGCGTCTCTCAGACTTCAGTGAACCTGAATGAGCCACTATTAGACGCGTTTCCGCTCTGTATGAATGGAGCATAATACATCCGCTACGTAAGCCGTCCATTTACTGCGTCCGATACTGAGGGAACTCTGCCGTTAACAGGGCTATTTATAATCCCTGAGCTGGAGGCTCCGGGAGAGACAGTGGAGACAGGAGCAGGCAGAGGTGTGAGGAGAGGGGCTAAAGGACTGGTACAGCAGCTGTGTCTCAAAACACAAGTGGACACACGTTTAACACGGCAAACAGCTTCAAGAAAGAGGGAATAAAGTGACAAATAATGGTGAGGTTTTGGGGTGGGGGTGTGGGGTGGGGGTAATAACGTCAACTTGGGCAATAGCTTTCGAATCTTTCACATTGAGTATAATCACAACCACTATATGGCTTCACACATGACACCACGGTCCGTCTCACTTGATCGGTTAGCTTGGACAGCTAACCGATACCAGTTGGTTATACACGTGATACCTCCCCTTTAAAGCTAGGGTACCTGACATGTCTTTCCAATAAATAAGGTTGTGTGTCCCAAATAGTCTTTTAAAAGTAACATTTTGTGGACCAATCAGACCGAAACCTCCTGTCCTATTAGAAGACTTGTTATCTTTTGCACACTTGTAATAAAGTGCTGCGCGAGTCACTATTTGACACTTTGAGCTGATTGGCTGAGTGAGGGTATTGGTCCTTTCACTTTTCTCCTTGAAAAAGCTGATCTCAAGATATGACAGAGGCCAAAAATATATGCATGTGAAAACTAGTGATAAAGGCAGTCTGTTTTGAGAGCGAGGAAAAAAGTGACACACATTTTATGACTTAGTTCCATTGTTTGTGGTTTGATATTCAGGCACCCCAGCTTTAATTACAGAATAATACTGATTCTACACACCACTTTAGGTTTGAAGGGTGGCTGAATCTCTTTGTTGGCGAGGCGTTCCCAGTCGATGCGTCTGAAGAAGGCCTGCTCCCGGATGTCCCGTTCTCCCTCCGGTCCACAGCCCAAACGCTTGGATGGGTGCTTGGTCATGAGCTGAAAGAACATACGAATAATCAACAATTTTTCTAGTTATGCCTGGTGCTGGTGTTGCAATGTCTTTATAAAGGTTGAAAAAATCTTTATGCAAATAGAAAAAAGTTTAGGGAGAAAGTAACATCAGGACACAAGCCGGTCCTCTTGTTGTTGAGTGACTCAGGCTGCACCTAAATTGAATCTTCTCTGGTGTGAAAAGGGAGAACGAAAACTCATTTCCTTGTGAATAAATAATCATGGAAAGACACGACACCACTTCAATGTGATAATACGGACAAAGCCCAGGTGGGAGAAAGAATGCAGGTGTGTCCCAAAATAGACTGGTTCTTGTCTGAATAAAGCAGAAACGGTAGGGATTTACATGGACCACACAATAGTCTGAGCAGTTTCTCAGGAGAAAGTTCTGTTCATTTCCATAACTATGCTAGCAGTCGATCATTTTCAAATAAAAAATAAATTAGACTTCTCCCTCTGATGGTAGCAAAAGGAAAGCATGTTTTATACTTATATCACCACCGATTTTCTACTTGAGATATTATTAGATATTTCAAAACATGAAGTGAAAAAGAATCATTAAAATCATTATAATCATTAATAATTTTGAAAGGCCACAAATAATTTCTTCTCTAAATCACTAAAATACCATAAAATAAGGTAGGGTCACTCACTCCTTTGCAGATGGACACGGCTTCTTTAGACATGGATTTGGGATACGAAACGTTGTGCTCCATGATGGACTGGAAGAGCTCGTCCTCGTCTTCACCGTCAAACGGAGGCTGAAGAGGGACAGAAGTCGCAATGATTAATTTTTATCGATAAGTGTACAGTATATTCTGGTACAATATATATTTGCGTTTATATCTGTGTGCAATAGGACTATTTCAAAGTAAATGGAATACCTGTCCAGCAAGCATCTCGTACAGCAGAACTCCATAGGCCCACCAGTCCACTGACTTTCCATAGGGCTGGTATGCAATGATCTGAAACAACAGATGTAAATAAATAAATACGTATATGCACATTGTGATTGGTCAAAATGAATTAAAATCCTTTAGGCTACTTGTCATTGGTAAAACTTTTCTCCTCCAACAAATATTACCAGTTGTAGTTGTGTCAAAGGGTGGGACTATTTTACATATTGTTGAAAAACACATAATACATAATTACAGTACATAATAGTACAGAAACCGATGGTCAGAAATATATATTCTTTTAAAAATGCGATACAATTAAAATCTTGATCACCTCAAAAACTGTATCTGTTCCCATGTCTCATTTCCGAGCTTTATGGCAAAAAAAAAAAAAAAAATACAAAACCCGCCCCTAACTTATTTGGCAAACCAACCAACTAACAAGCAGACACACCTTGGTGATTGCATTACCCGCTAACAGAGGAAATACATCTATGCCACGGGTTGGATTTAAGTTTTAGAGCGCGGGTATAATAAAACAGGGAGCAGCTATATCTTTTGGAAACCCAGTCATTAGATAAAGCTGTCTATTTTGAGGAGCAGTAACAATGAGATCTTTCTGCAAGCAGCCACTTTGCCGTCCCACTTGTTACGCCTCCACACGGAGACGCGCGTCGGCTGCAACGCTAATAACGAAGACACTGGCGCACCGAGGGAGCCGCAGCTGCACTTTTCAAATGTTCACAGTTCACTAAAGAGCAATTAGACGCTCCGCCGCCAACACGTATCAGCACCAGAGGCAGATCTATGACTCGTAATGTGACCTGTGAAATGGTAAGACTTTGCTTTATGTAATGTAAAAGGATGTGACTGTCAGTGAAATGAACAGGCGAGGCAACAAGAGACTGTGGATGTGTTGTATGTGAGTAAAGTATATGAGCAATGTGTCTCCCATTGAGTATGATAATAACAGATTAAATATAGATTATCGGTAGGACATGGTTGTACGCTCATGCATTCAGAAATACGGTTTAAAAGTGCATCACCAAGGAATTGTTATTGTTTTTTCCTGGAATTTTCTATCACATGGCCTTAGCTGTATATTGTCCTCGCTGGTCTTCACACTGTCACACTGTGAATGGACACTGTTAAAATAGAGGGGAAACATCTAAGGCTGCTTGGATAAACTGTGTGAATGAAGCAATGAATTTTTCCCCACAAAAAAAAAATAAAAATCCAAATGATTAGTTTTAAAGGCATAATAAAAAAGGCATGCTTGAGGCAAACTATGTGGTGACTACATAGACTGTATATAGATGGACAATGCTAACCCCCTAGCTCAAGAAAGTCCAAAAGGGAAGTGCTCATGGGCGCAGTTTTGCTCCAACTCCCTCTGGCTCCTACGGACATACATTGGAGAGTAAACTTCTGCTCTACTCACCATTTTGGGCTTAAAACAAAACGTTTTTTTAGTGCTCTCTATGATCCTTCTGTTAATATTTTGATAATGCCTTTGTAAATCCAGATTTACAAAGACATAAGGATTGACATTATCAGATGCATTCATTGTTGGGGGAATCTCGAGCTTGTCTTAGCAACCGTCTTAGCAACACGTCTGCCCACTGCAGAACAAATGCCCATAAAAGGAAATTGGCTCTATCTAGTTCAAGTCGGGTTCTTCTGTGTTCGTAAACTACCTCCTTCCTTGTCCTTATTGCTCCTAATGTCCTTCTGTTGTGGTCAACCTGAAGGAGCTGCTAGGAGATAGGCCGTTTGAGAGAGCATCTCCAAGTCGTTCTTAAGGACTTCAGACTTTCCTACTCAAGCGGAACTAGCGCTACTGTTGATCCACAACAAATCCACAGCAAATCTATCAAGAACAGAAACTTACACTAACCAATGTAATAATGCTGATGAATCACAATGTGCACTAAGGAGAAAAGACTGAACATGTGACCAATGCACATAATGTACCTCTTGAGTAATAAACAGACAAATGGGTGCATCTCGATCATTGGGTGAAACATCTTAGAATCGTCACCTCTGGAGCGATGTAGTCCGGTGTGCCACAGAAAGTGCGAGTGGACATTCCTTCGAACATGTTTTCTTTGCACATGCCGAAGTCTGCAATTTTGATGTGGCCTTCTGAGTCCAGCATCACATTGTCCAGCTTTAGGTCTCTGCGGAAATGAGAACAGACATATAAACATAATAAATCACAGCAACACTATGATAAACTCTCTAAAACTACAAACAATCTAAAGCTACTCCTGCACTTTTTTGTTTTGGTTTTAAAAGCTGCATTACCTGACTTTATTTTTCTATTAATTAGGAAAATTCAGACCATATCCATGCAGTTTATTGGGATATACGTCCTTTTGAAGAATAAGTAGCGCAGGTTTGTGCTGGAGTGTAATTTTCTTTTAGATCGAATTCTCGCGCAATGTGGAAGAAAATTTATTTCGGGACCAGATTGTGACCAATCACAGCGGACCACTGGCCCCCACTTTCTTGAGAGAATCTACAGATCTCTCGTTAGCACAGACAGCTGAGGTGAACGAGCATAAGGGCGGAAGCGAACCTGAAACTTCCTGTGTCTTCGTTACCGCTTACTGCTTATGCAGCGAAACAGCCATCTATACGAAAGTCCCTACAAGAACGGAGAGAGGCCAAGAGTTTGACGGACCGGGAGAGAGGCACCGGGAGAGAGGCACCGGGAGAGAGGCACCGGGAGAGAGGCACCGGGAGAGAGGCACCGGGAGAGAGGCACCGGGAGAGAGGCACCGGGAGAGAGGCACCGGGAGAGAGGCACCGGGAGAGAGGCACCCGGAAGTGAGGCCGAAAGAGTCTCAAACAAGTCCACTTGTTTTTGGGCTAAAACAAGAGACGTATCCACATATTATTATAGATGCATGATCGTAAACAACAGCACACGAGTACGCGCATGAGTGGGAGGGAGGTGGTGGGGAACGTAGCTTTGTGAGAGCGGGGAGGGGAACAGAAAGAGCGAGGGCAGCGCTTATACATTTGAAACTGCTGCTTCAAAGTCACAAAGTGAGTTAGTCCAGCTTTAATTTTTCCAGTTTGTTTAATTCCTGTACTTTTAACTTTGTTTACTTATGGACTTTTGCAAATGCATTCCAATGTGGTTTTACAGCAAATGGCAAATAAAATGAATCTGAATCTTGTTTGTGAGAGCTTAGGATGGACAGTGAAAAATACGAGACCTTTAAATCCCATTATTCAAATCATCTTATATACAATTTTCCTTTTGTCAAAAAGTACATTCAACAATCAAATATTTAATCAAATGTAAAACATATGTCACAGACATTGCTGCATTTTCTTACACCCAGGTAAGCAGACCATACCATTAACTATCACTACCACAGCATCTCCAGGAATCCTTTTCTCTACAGCCTTTTCCCTTGTTTCTTAAGGCTCAGATGTGGCTCATCCTGAACTGTAATACTCTGTGATCTGTGAATTCAACTTAATCCTTAAACCTAAAAAAACAAACATATATTCTCTATATGTTCAAGGCAGGATTTGCTGCAGTCACAGTTCGTTCAGCGTTTGTTTTTTGTTTTACCTGTAAATGATCCCTCTTCGGTGTAGGAAAAACAACCCAGCAGCAATTTCTGCTGCATAAAATCTGCAAAACAACACAATGAAAAATAAATTAGCTATTTTAGTGTTTACCTTCATATTCCTAATGCACACTTATTGTGACGCTGATTTTAAAACCACGATTTGAATGAGAGCTAATGATTTATCTTTTATGAGGTTCTACACAGAACATAGAGAAAACAAAATATGATTTTGAAGTTAGTATTTTAAAGGTCTTGGCCTTGGCTTCAAAAGAAAACATTGTTTTTTTAGTTCGATTAAAACTAACTTTCAAGAAGGAATAATGCGAGTGTTAATGTGTGTGCTATCAATATTATACATGCAAAATCTGTATTTTATCCATAAAAATACTGTGATTCTATTAAAGCAGTAGTAAATAAAAGTAAAACATTTTTTAACAAATTAGACCATGCTGTGTTCGTATTATTAGAAAACATCTTTTGCATACTTGTAAGAAAGCCCTGCGAGTCACTATTTGACACTTTGGGCTGAGGCGATCCACTCATTTCCACTTTTCTGTTTGGATGTGGTAGGGGTCAAAAATACAGAAAATAATGATGTAACAAAACTTGATGGATTTTTTTTTTTCAGTTTATTTTTTGTGGTTTTAAAGTTAGGTACTAGGGCTGGGCGATATGGCTGAAAACTATATCACGATATAAGTCATTCATATCGGTCGATAACGATATATATTGAGTTTTTTTTTTTAACCTAAATAAATATATTTGTCGTGTGGGCTAACCAACCTTAGCAGCCTTGTTTACAGTCACGGGGCGATGAGGCTGGAGGAATATGTTCACACTGTGTCCCTCGTTGTTAGTCCTGGTTTAATCCTGGTTTTTTATTCCTGGTTTAGCTCCTGGTTTAGCTGTTTGAGGGTCTTGTGTCCCCGTGGCCGCTCCGTGTGGCTCTCTGTGCCGCACATGCTTCCCGAGGAAAAAGTTAATCTCTTGCTTTCGCCGAATACATCGTGTCTGTCCACTGCCTCTGCCGCCGCACATGTTATTCCGCGCACGTACGTGCATAACCATTGACACGGCATTGAAACACGAGCTATAGATCCATGGACGCTACGCATGCTGCGGTTGTTGTTGTTTTTGCATTTCCCACAAAGTTTTGCGGTTCCTGCTCGGCTGTTATTGGTCGAGAAGCCTCTGCCTACATCCCCCACAATGCCATGCGCTTATGAGTCGGCTTTACTTCCGGTGTTTTCTTCCTGTTTTTCCTGACGGAGTTAAGTTAAACTATCGAACATTCTATCGACCCCATTCTCTATTGATATCGAACACATGTCTATCGCGATATATATCGTTATCGTTTTATCGCCCAGCCCTATTAGGTACCCCAGCTTAAACAAAGTCATTCACAGCCCAGAACAAAGAGATGTTTTGCTTACACTGCCTGCGGCTCTTTGAACTTCCCCATGCGCTGGATGTGGTACATGAGGTCGCCTCCATTGATGTACTCCATCACAAAGTAAAGTCGGTCCTGGAAACAATTTTTTTTTTCTATAACAACACCTTTTTTATTTTTTACATGTCAACAATATTTTCTATACTTTAGATTTGATTATCAGAAATAAAATGTCAGAAGTGTTCAATCTACAGTATGGCTGATGAATACAGAAGGGACTGTGGGATCTGGATTATTCAAAACCCTTATAATTATTTTTTAGGTGAATAACTAATACCCGAGCTCGTGGGGAGGTTGAGCGATACCGACTAGAGATAGTCGGCCTCACCTCCACACACAGCTTGGGCTCTGGAACCCAACTCCTTGAGAGGTGTTGGACGCTGCACTTTTCTGGTGTTTCTTGCGGGGAGAGGCAGCAAGCTGGGGTGGCCATACTCATTGCCCCCCATCTCAGCCGCCACGTGTTGGAGTTTTCCCCGGTGAATGAGAGGGTCGCGTCCCTCCGCCTCCGGGTGGGGGACAAGTTACTGTTGTGACGGCCTACGGGCCTAACAATAGTGCAGAATACTCGGTCTTCTTGGAGTCCTTGGTAGGTGTACTGGACAGTGCACCGCCCAGGGACTCCGTTATTCTCCTGGAGGACTTCAACGCCCATGTGGGAAACGCCAGTGACACCTGGAGAGGGGTGATTGGGAAGAACGGTCCCCCTGATCTGAACCTGAGCGGTGTTCAGTTGTTGGACTTCTGTGCTAGTCACGGTTTGTCCATCACAAACACCATGTTCGAGCACAAGGGTGTCCACCAGTGCACGTGGCACCAGGACACCCTAGGCCGGAGGTCGATGATCGACTTCGTTGTCGTATCATCTGACCTTCGACCGCGTGTCTCGGACACTCGGGTAAAGAGAGGGGCGGAGCTGTCAACCGATCATCACCTGGTCGTGAGTTGGATCCGCTGGCAGGGGGAAGCCGGTCAGACCTGGCAGACCCAAGTGTGTAGTGAGGGTCTGCTGGGAACGTCTCGCTGAGCCCCCTGTCAGACGGACTTTCAACTCGCACCTCCGGGAGAGCTTCTCCCAGGTCCCGACGGAGGAGGGGGATATCTGGCAAACCATCCGGTGCCTCAGAAGGGGGAAGCAGTTCTTTGCCAACACCGTGTACGGTGTGGGAGGAGAGCTGCTGACCTCGACTGGGGATATTGTCGGGCGGTGGAAGGAATACTTCGAGGTTATCCTCAATCCCCCCGTCACGTCCTCCGCCCCGGAGGTTCCCCGGGGTGTCCTTTGAGGGGTTCTCCGGGAGTATGGGGTCCGGGGTCCTCTGCTGAGGGCTGTCCGGTCCCTGTATGACCGGAGCCAGAGCTGTGTTTGGATCGCCGGCAGTAAGTCAGACCTGTTCCCAGTGCATGTTGGCCTCCGCCAAGGCTGCCCTTTGTCACCGGTTCTGTTCACTGTGTTTATGGACAGAATTTCTAGGCGCAGCCAGGGGCCGGAGGGGGTCCGGTTCGGGGACCACAGGATTTCATCCCTTCTTTTTGCGGATGATGTTGTCCTGTTGGCTCCAACGAACTAGGACTTGCAACATGCACTGGGACGGTTTGCAGCCAAGTATGAAGCGGCTGGGATGAATCAGCACCTCCAAATCCGAGGCCATGGTGCTCGACCGGAAAAAGGTGTCTTGCCCTTTTCAGGTGGGTGGAGAGGTCCTTCCTCAAGTGGAGGGGTCTTGTTCACAAGTGAGGGAAGGATGGAGCGTGAGATTGACAGGCGGATCGGTGCAGCGTGCGCAGTGATGCGGTCGCTGTATCGGACTGTCGTGGTGAAGAGGGAGCTGAGCCGAAAGGCGAAGCTCACGATTTACCGGTCAATCTTCGTTCCCTCCCTCACCTATGGTCATGAGCTTTGGGTAATGACCGAAAGAACGAGATCACGGATACAAGCGGTCGAAATGAGCTTCCTCCGCAGAGTGGCTGGGCGCTCCCTTAGAGATAGGGTGAGGAGCTCAGTCACACGGGAGGAGCTCGGAGTCGAGCCGCTGCTTCTCCACATCGAAAGGAACCTTTTGAGGTGGCTCGGGCATCTGTTCCGGATGCCTCCTGGACCCCTCCCTGGGGAGGTGTTCCGGGCACGTCCCACTGGGAGGAGGCCCCGGGGAAGACCCAGTACACGCTGGAGGGATTATGTCTCTCAGCTGTCCTGGGAACGCCTTGGGGGCCCCCCGGACGAGCTAGATGAAGTGTGTGTGAATAGGGAAGTCTGGGCGTCTCTGCTTAGACTGCTGCCCCCGCGACCCGGCAACGGACGAAGCGGAAGAAAATGGATGGATGGATGGATGGATGGATAATGATATCAATATTTCAAAATCTGATGAAAAACTTTTTGAATTACAGCAAAGCTATTTTATTCACTCAGCGGCACGGTGGCTGAGTGGAAAACACCATGTTCTCAGCAAGAAGGTCCTGGGTTCAAATCCCAGTCGGAACAGGGCCTTTCTGAGTTGGTTCTGCGTAGGTTTCCTCCGGGTGCTCTGGCTTCCCCTACCACTAAAAACATTTACAATAGGTCTGGCATGCGCCTCCTGTACTGGCGACCCCACTCTCTGTGTGGAGTGGGAGACAAATGCCCAAAAAAACCAATTGTAAACCGCTTTGTGACTCTGGTCTGAGAAAGACGGTATATAAATAAAGATTACTTACATACTTATTCTAAGACACAAACGGGAATGACACAAAGACACACCGACAGGAAGATCTTTCTGAAAAACCTCTCTGACATTACCAATATTGCGCCTCATTATGCACTCCATACTTGTACGCATATATGATTTTAATAAGTCTTCTCTGAGTCACCGCATCTACGTCCTCGGCTCACGTCACCTCGTTCTGTGATTTTGTATTCTTGTCTTTTCTGTAACATTTAAGGCATTGTGCGATAACTGCAGGTGGAGAGACTGAGTGGTCGATGATGGTGATGACAGCGTGCACAGAAGCAGGAAAACGTGAAATTATGAGAAATGGACTGTTGTGTAAAAATAATGGAGTCGTGTGTGGGTCTGAGCACACACCACGGTCTGGAAGCAGGAGTGGAGCTGAGTGAGGAAAGGCGGCTTGTCTCTTTGGGCCAACACGCGCTTCTCCACCATCGTACACTCCACGTCATCGTCCTGGATCACCACGTCTTTCTTCAGGATCTTGATCGCGTACAGCTCCTCGGTGGACTTCATCTCAGCCAGCATCACCTGTAGACGCAAGTTCAGAGAAGTGGCGGGGGGGGAAATATCGTTCATGTTCAGTATCGTGATATATTTTGCACATCCAACTAAATCGATACAGTAGTAGCATTGCGATATTTAGTTAAATAAGTATTTATTCATTTTGTGTTTTCTCTGAGTTCTCTGAGATTTATGTTATTATTTATGTTATTTATTTATTTTATCTACTTGTTGTTGCTCTAGTTTATTGTATTGTGCTGGGAGTGCTGGGAGCTCACCATTCATGTGAGAGGTTGCCTATTCAGAGGAATTTTGTCTAATCCTGTAATAAGGTCCCTTGTCCAGAATGTTCAAGGATAAAGTTTTTACACTTCAGTTGCAGACCATGATTCCAGTCTTTTTTTCCTCATTTGTTTGTAATGTCTTTGAATAATATGAGGGACATGAATCACAATATATTGCAGAAATGAATCGCAATACTTTATGTTAAGAATCGGAATAACAATACTTTTGAATCATCATATTTTTGCCAATTTCCCACCACTAGTGCAGAGGTGGGAAAGTGTACCACAAAATCACTGAATGATGAAATGAATGGTGTTCTCCCCGACCTTTCCAAAACTGCCTTTTCCGAGCAGAGCCAGGAAGTTGAAGTCGCTCAGTCTGACGCGGTCCATGTTCCCCGAGGGCAGACTGAAGCGCCGAGGGTCCGATGGAGTGATCACCTTCTTCCCGTGGCCGAGCTTTGCTTTCTGCGAAATAAAATAAAAAATTATAATTTAGGTTTAAGATTTAATTTCTTCTTTAGGACTTTAAGTGTCTTATTGTGGAGTTTTGTCAACTAGCCAATTAATAATCGCAACCCAAATTTGAAGGAGGGATGGAGGAATTGAAAGAACACATTTACATTGTGAAGGAGACTATGTCTTAGTTAAAAGCCAAATCAAACCCTTTTCTGTGGGAGGTCTCTGTAACTGTGGATTCACAGTTTGAGGCTTTTTGACAAACAGGGTAATCTTCCCTTTCTTAAAACCATCAGTGGGCACCATTCGTTGATTCCTGTTGTTATAATGACAGACCTGCCAGGAGACGGGAACTAACGGGCAATTAGGGCCTGCACCCATCACCACATCCTCCCTGTGGGCGGGACGGGAGCTGTGTCCTGGGTGACCGTTTTCGGCTGTCCATATCTATAGACTAATTATATCTAGAGTAATAAAGTGGATTTGAACACTGAATAGATATAAGTTTCTACTTTACATTAAACAGATGCAAAGCACTTTAAGCAGAGATAAACAATTTTCATGCTCCAAAAAGCATCATAATTTCTGTAATGAGAAATAATAGCCCAACATAAATACAGAATATTTATGCTTCAGTCCACATTCTTCTACTGCCCCCTGGTGTTGAGATGTGGCATGCACAGAAGAAGCCTGTTCATTCAGAATTAGATCAAGATTAAGCATCATGCAATATGTCCAAAAGACCTTCTATAGTCCAGACTATAGAGGGATCACAGCAGGTGCAGTGTGAGTGATGAGAGAGAGAAAGGACCATCATGGATTTACTAACAATGTCGCCATCTTGTGTTGGGAGAAGTGAACTGTTGTACAATTTACCTTCCACTCGCATGGACTGTGTGACCCATTGTTTTTTGACTATTTTTTTCAGTGGCTAGTTTAGTTTAGTTTATTGTTTATAAAAAACAGGGACAATGTACAAAAACCATTAGTCTTTACAAAAGAACATATGGTTTGCACCAGATTTAGCTGCAGCTACTTTCCATCTGTAGTCCCTGGGCAGGACTACAGAAAGAAATGCGTTAGAAATGCGTAACTATCAGACACACTTTTTCAAGTATAATTTTACCAAGCATTCTGATCTACACTTTTTGGCTTTAAATTTGTAAATATACCCCCAACAGCAGAAACACCCAGGGAAACTTTGGACAATCTAATGCAGTATAGGGATAATTTGTCTTTTTGGTGACAATATATTCAATGTCCATCTCCAGCCCACTGTACTCACTTCGGATCTGTAATTAATTGCTTGGTCATTTTCACTGAGAATAACGTATTTAACCCTTTAGGCGCCAAATTAGCCTCTGGATAAGACACTGTTTTTCTTTCTGATCGCAAACTGTTAGTTTTTGTAATAAAAAAAAAGAACCCTAAACCGTAAATAAGATTCTCTTCACCGGTCCTTGGTTACAGTACATTGAAACAGGAATATTAGCATTTTAATAGATTAAATCATATCTCCTTGATTTGGAATATAATATTATCCAGCTCATGAATCTATAGGACACTTTCTATACAGCGACCTGAGTTCCCACAAACATTTCCCAACATTTTTCTTACATCTTTTCCTTTTATTGAGTACTGTTTTTTGATCTGAGCTATCCTCTATCTCTCTAAGTTACAGGGCTCCACCTTTTGTCCGTCTCACATCACATTTCAAAAAAAAAAAAGGAGCCTTAATAGTTAATTCAATTCATAAACAAAACCTGGGAAGAACATGTGTGTGACAAAGACATCGGTGTGGAAAGCCTCTTCGTGAACAGCCTACTGCCATGGAAATATTATGTTTGTAAACAGATGCGTTTATGAAAGTCTTGCAGAGTCCCACAGACAAAGCTTAAGTTTAAAATGGGAAGCAGCGATAGAAGGAAACAGGCAGGGGGAGGGGGCTACCTTCAGATAGTGGATATTTAACTGGCAAGCCTACAAGAGAAACAACATTATAATCATGTTATGAGTGCATTTGAGTCTTGCTTGAACAACATGTTACAACACAGAATAATGGATCTTGTGAACCAGATGGGGGCATTTTGTCTAGTTTCCACGGCAACTACAAGAAGTGTATGAGGACTGTGATAATAGTCAAGGTCAGCGTTTTATGATTAGAAGTTTTCTTTTCAACAGAATTATGAATTTAAAGAAAAGGTTGGTCATTCAGAACTGGGCACAAGTGTCATGAAGAAACTGGTTAATAATGGTTTGAAAAGTTGAATTGTTGACTTTATTGCACCGCGAAGCTTTGACACAGCCTGGGCACTAGAGGGCGCACACAAACAAGCCTAGTCTAGATCGAACAATGCTATACTGTTCGGTTGTAATCATCAAGAAGCATATTTTGGGGGGTTAAAACTTAACCTCAAGGAAAAACTAAATTCCTCTGTCATTATCAATTACAGCTGGAGTATCTAACTTTCATTTTTCATAATTTTTTTTATTTTGCTTGTCCCAAAATGAGAGTTTTGTAAGAGTAATTCTGTTGCATTCTGCACTCATTCTATTTAAAAACATGTCATCTTGTAACTAGTGAGATTGATTAATATGGTCTATCATTGTGTGATTTCAAAGTTAGGTACCTCAGCGTCAAGAAATCTATCTATAGCAGTCAACCCAACGTCCATCATGATCTAGCAGATAATTGGGTTAAGCTGTTTGATTGGCTATACTATATATTGCCGATAACCAAAATACATGTATAAACAAGTGAGTGACATTTCAGTAAATGCATGTTTGGATAAAGTCATCAATCTCTCCACTTTCTCCAGTCCCCTAAGAAGTTATTCTTATTATGTCACTGTTACAAACTTTTATATTCTACTGCATTACATTTGCAAATTCCTGCAGGATTTAAAGCTGATCTTTCTCCTAATCTGACAAAGAATAATGGCGTTTTCATGAGAAATACACTTTGAATTCTCAACACGTAGGAAAAAACCGAGAGGACGGAGACATTTAGGGTAAAATGTGCACTGTTTTAAATCACCTCAAATTTCTGTCGGAGCTCAAAGTTCACGTCGTCCACTTCTGGGATAGGGACGTTGTAGTATTCTCCCTCCTCCTGGTTCAGAAGCTTGTACCTGCAAATGCATGAGTAGTATCAGCTCTAAGTGCTTCATATTATGTGATGTGACTTCTGTTTCCATGTCTGCTAAGCCTCATGTTGTTCCCTCAGGTGAACTGGGAGCATGACGTTTTGGTCAAACTGGCAGCGGAAACTTAGCTCATGAAAAGTGATTTGAATGTGTTTATGAATGAGAGGAAATGTTCATGTGTCATGCATTACATCAGCCACTGAAGATTAATCTAGGCCGAGAACACATTGGAAATTGTGCTTCCGTTTGCTTTGAGAACATGTTTTTAAAGCTGGGGCACATAACTTTTACGTTTCATAAATAATTCATGTTTGTCCCAAGGAAAGAGTTATGAAAAAGTAAAATGTTGTGAACATGCAGCACCTCGCCTCCTCCTCGTCATCCTCTGAACAATGCGGAATTAATCTTCATGTCATCAATCCAGCTTCCACCACCAGGGTTGAGACTCCAGGGGGATTTCACTTTCATAATCTCTATTAAATTCCCTGCTGCCTACGTCATGTAAAATATCATATACCAGCATGTCAATATATTGTTTAAGATCATAAAATATGTCTGCAGGTCTAAGTATCTAACCATGCAATATCAGTCTAATGCATGTAGCGTCTTGCCTGAGTCTATCTATCTTTCCAATCTATCTAGGCAAGGAAATGCAAGGCAAGGCAAGGCAAGTTTATTTATATTGCACAATTCATACACAAGGCAATTCAAAGTGATGAACAAAATAAGAAAGCATTAAAATCATAAATAATCAAAGCACATCTATCTATCTATCTAATTATCAATATCATTTATCATTATAGTACTTAGTGCAGAAAATAGAGACAGGAGTACATACAGTGATCAATAGTTAAATATGATTATCTACAGTATGTATCACATGTAGCCACTGACCATCCACAGTTTGTAGCTTTGATGAGTTCTGAGACTCCGAAAGACATGGAGCCCATGAAGTCGTTCCTGGTGGTGCGGTCCCAGTCCCACACCTCGATGGACAGACGTCGGTCTTTGTCTGACGCCTTCAGTTTACTGACAACACACAGACGAACCAGAGCAGACATGATGTAAGATTAAAGTAAAGAGAAGAAATGCTTAACTGTGTGTGGTTTTCAAGGAATATTCAGTAATTACTCACACACATATAATATGTGCATATACAGTATATATACAGTATATATATATATATATATATATATATATATATATATATATATATATATATATATATATATATATATATATATATATATATATATATATATATATATGTCTAACTCCAAATTGAACGCTGGACTATGTGTGTTTCCTCACAAAGAGAAGGACTCGTTCCAGCAGGGGTTGAGCGATGAGCGGATGGTTCTCGTCTTCTGTTTGGTCTCGTTCTTCGGGTCTGGGATCAGTTTGAGTTTGACGTATGGATCCGACAAACCATTGGGATCCATGGGAATCAGGTTTCTGGCCTCTCCCACTAAAGAAACACAAGAGAGAGTTCGACTGGATGTTATGTCTCAATCCAATCAAAACTGCAACGTGAATGATCACAATTTGTAAAAGACTAAACCTCATATTTTTCACGTTACATCCTAAATAGACCTTTAATCCATGTTTCTTTTTAAAGGCAGTGGGCTTTGTACAAGTTGATTATAGTCTAGTTGAGATGTTTAAAATCTACCTACACTTATATTACATCAAGTTGCCTCTGCCCAGGGGGTAAAGTGATCACCATTGTTGGTTTGTTTGTCTGGGAACAGTAAAATAAAGTTGTAATTTTGGAGGTGATCCGACTCACCGTCTTGATGCAGGATTATTTTAAAGGAATGGAACTGTGCCTCTGGGCGGAGGTCTGAGCTCTGCGAGTGCTTTGTTGTGTGATTTTACTCGTACCATGACATAAGAGATACATTCTAAAAACATTGGCAAGAATCCTCTTAAATTCTTGACAAATATAAAACATTATCTTGGCCTGTCTTTTTAAAATAATGTAAATTTACACATTTACTATGATTATTATTTGATATAATATTTATAACTAAGAATTGCCCAGCCCCACACGAGAGAGAAAGTAAAGTGGGAATCAGAGCCAGAAGGCACAATGGCTTCTTGTTTTCAGGTTGGTGACTCATTATAAGATTTTTCAGAAATAAAAAGAAAAACAGTCAAAAATAGTGACACATTTAAATCCAGGTTCAGTTTCACACCACATGGCATTTAAAACAGTAAAAGTGTTATTGTGTCTTTAAGAAATAAGCCGTTAAGAAATAATTGTTTTTTATATTGAAACATTTAGTTAATTGTAAATGTTAGAGGAAATGATGCTGTGAATGGACTACTTTCAAAATGATGCAACAGGAGAAATTGGAACCCTAAATAAATGTATTTTTTTACCAATAGCTTCAAAAGCCTCAGTTGAACAAAAACCCAAGTTTTCACTCAAGATAAAAACATATTGGCACAACAGACTTAACTAAACTCTTACATTAGACACCTTTGTCTAAACTTAAAGATATATGTAATACAATCTATTTGACTAGTTCCTCACTCTCAAAACCGTTTGGGTCAATCAGTACTTTTCAGACACTGTATTTTCCGTCCCTCTCAGCTTTATCAGACAGAAAAGTAAAAAATAAAGGATCACCTTGACTCAACCAATCATCTCTCAGCCAAAAGCATCAAACAGTGACTATTTCAAATGAGATAAAGACAGCATGGTGGGGTCTGATTTGTTCACAAAAAGTTACTACAATAAGATAAGAATAAGATAAGAATTCCTTTATTAGTCCCACAGTGGGGAAATTTCGATACAAGTTATATACAGACCTCATTATGGTACTTTGTGTTTTTGACTCGACCATGACACGAGCAGTATTTTAGAAACACAAACAGAACAAATATTTGATGAAATATTTTAAGAACATTGAAAAGTCTGTATTTTTTTTTTTCATTTGAAGTGGTTTCACAATGTTCCAACTCTGAAATTGACATTATGCATGCGCACTCACAGGCAAAAGGTGCTTTGAGGTCAGATGGAATTGGAAGCACCAGTTTTATCAGGAGGTGGAGGAGGAGGTGGTAAAGGAGGAGGTGGTAAAGGGGGAGGTGGTAAAGGGGGAGGTGGAGGTGGTAAAGGAGGAGGTGGATCAGGAAGTGGTAAAGGTGGAGGTGGAGGAGGAGGTGGTAAAGGGGGAGGTGGGGGGTGTAATAATAATGTAACAGCACAACAAGGTTAGTTGTTAGTAGTAGCAGGAGTTGTTGATTTGTCGCCAGAGTGAGCTCATCACGTGCAGGAGGAGCCACGTTTGTCCCCCGTGTGATGACTGACACATGGAACATAAGAGGGCCGTTTCATAGCAACAGGACAGCAACGGGCGGAGCGAGGATGCCACCCTCACCATGACGACGGCATACAGTGAAATGGCCAGAGGAGCCAGAGACACAAACAACACCTGTCAATCACAGCAAAGAAGCCGATGGCATCCTGTTCATCATATCATTTAGTTTGAGCAGGGAACAGGTCTTCAAGAAAAGGCGGGTAAAAAATTTTCTTAATCTTAATCTTTATGGTGAAATCTGGTAATTACATGCTTAATGGTCTTTCAAATCAGTTTTTTTCATTATTATTGTTTTTTGTCATTTTATTGTGTCATCTTCATTACTTCACACTTTTTCCTATAATACATAACAAGACACATTTTATTTTCTTTAATCATTTATTCCCCACTATGCTCCCCTTGTGCCAAAAAAGTCAAATAAAACAAAGCAAAAATAAAATGAAATAAAAACACAAGCAAACAAAACAATACAACAAATGAAAATAAATATAATCTGTTTTCTTATGTACATTTCATAATAGAATAGAGTAAATAGATTTGGCCTCTTTTGCTTTTATTATTATTTAAGAGTGAATAATTCATCAAAACATTTCCACATGTCGTCTATACACAAGCCTGTATCAGACACACACATTATTGAGGTCAAGTTTAAAGATGGGCAGAAGTGGATATTTAAATTCAGCACATTTGTTTTCAGTATTCAATATTCACATGCAGATGTTATCCTGCCACCACAGCTTGTAGTGAATGCTGTAGTGAATGTAGTATAGCAAGTATGTGGCAGAGTATTGGCTGATTTTAACCATGTTGCATCATTGCAGCCTCATTAAAACTGTACCTGGAGCTGTTTTTAGCTTCATCCAGCAGGTATCACAAACAATTGGTAAAAAATGCTACAAACATCACCCCACCTCGTCAGTCCAAATGCTTCCTTTTTCAACTTTGGCATAATATGAGAAATCCTTAGACTATGAGGTCAAGAGCTAATATAATTATACATGACATTCTTTACAACTGTGTGCCTTCAAAATAGACCTTATCATATCAGCATATTGTAAGATTTGTATCAATATTTAGTAAGAGGTAATTTTCCACTTTCTATTACTGCTCTGGAACTCTCCCCCCTGACCTCCGTACCATTGACTCTCTTCCCCTCTTCAAATCCAGACCCAAAACCCATCTGTTCAGACTGTCCTACCCCACCTAACACACACACACCCACCTTCCATATTGCACTACTGTTTTATTCTGTTGCTCCTGTTTTAAATGTTTTTATTACGTCCTGTACAGTGTCCTTGGGTGTTTTGAAAGGCGGTTTTAAATAAAATGTATTATTATTATTATTATTATTATTAATCCCTACTTAAAGCTGGCATAATTGGCTTAACTGAACCCACAAAATAAACCTATGTGATAAAATTCATTGTTTTATTGTAACATTGTATTTATAAATCAAAACAACATTTGGGAACTCCAGCTTTAAGAAATCATTTCACATTCAAAACTGCCAAAGAAAGATCAAACTAATGTGTTTCTGTAACCCTAACCCTCTTGGTAGTTCTCTCATGTCTTGGCCCTCCATTCCTTCTCCACCATCCTTCAGGCTGCTCTCTGACCACAACTCGCGCCTTCTTGGCAAGTTTGCATGTTAACTTTTCCATCAGCACGAGAGCGAGAACCACTCCATATGTGTGTCAAGTCTGCACATGACCGCTGTGACAGATGGAGGAGACGGACAGGGTCAGGCTGGAGACTGTATTTCCCAGCTCCAACAAAAGCTGCATATTTATAGGAAAAATCGCTCCAGTCCTGAATACTGATTCTCCAATGTCACATTTCAGTCAGTGTGAACTTCCACCCCCTTGATAACCATTACAAACAAGAGGAAATGTTTTTTTATTGCGGCATATACATAATTCAAGCATGGAGGTGTAGCTATAATGTGTTCGAGTGTGCTTGTGGATTGCTCTGTAACGAAACAAGTGTATATAAAATCATGTTTAAATCCAAGGGCAAAGGCCACTTCATCTTGTTTATACCTACTCCAGTCCAAAGCCAAAGCACATTTATTCTCCTTCATAATGAGCTGAGAAAATTAAATGTATTGAGATTCTATACATAATTTGTCCTCATGCCATACATGACATGTGCTATATGATTAAAATGTCATTCTTGCATCAAATATTATACAAATGAGATGGACTGACAGCAGTTAATGCCATTACAACATTCCAAAGAGTCTATAGTTTAATATTGTGCTGTAGGGGAGCTGAAAAATCCAAACTATGGTAACTGTCAAAAGCCAGACCTCTTAGTTTAGAGCTAATTTCTCTGTAATTCCAGGACCAATCCATATGAAACAAAATCTGCTACAAAGTTAGACATATTCTTTGTGAGCACATATCAACTGTGGTCTAATTATTTTCTCATAAAGGTGTTTAGAAGTGTTTGGACAATATTCAAATAACATATGCATGATTTTGGCCAGTGCCAATAATATGAAAACATTTGGAATTTTTAGTTCTACATTTTTTTCAAAAATGCTTCTTTACTTTAGATATACAGTACAGACCAAAAGTTTGGACACACTTTCTCATTCAATGAGTGTCCTTTCTTTTCATGACTATTGACTGTAGATTCACACCCAGGCTGTGTAAGGGCTGTTTGACCAATAAGGAGAGTGGTGCTGGGCCAGATGACCCGGCTTCCACAGTCACCGGACCTGAACCCAATCCAGATGGTTTTGAGGTGAGCTGGACCACAGAGTGAAGGTGAAAGGGCCAACAAGTGCCAAGCATCTGTGGGAACTCCTTCAAGATTGTTGGAAGACCATTTCAGGTCACTACCTCTTGAACCTCTTGAAGAGTGTGCATGAAGCAGTAATCAGAGCAACAGGTGCTACTTTGAAGAACCTAGAATATAAGACATATTTTTCAGTTGTATCACTCTTTTTTTCAGTACGTACATAATTCCACATGAGTTAATTCATAGTTTTGATGCCTTCAGTGTGAATCTATAAAAAATAAGAAAAAACTCTTTGAATGAGAAGGTGTGTCCAAACTTTTGATATGCAATGTATATTGACACCTGATTTCTAGAAAAGTACATTTGTAACGTTGTAGCCATATAAACCAAATCG